AAACTATGAGATACCACAGAATTATTGATTCAATTGGACTATAGACAAAACTTATAAAAAAAAAACAGTTCGCAGAAGATATCAAATAAAATAAACAGTTACATCGTTAAAAATCATTTTTCAAATTTGTTCTTTCATGATTGGTGTCTCAAAGAATACTTTTTATATTCTTTCAAAACGGCTATCTATACTTATAAATTATTATCAATCAAAAAAATCAAACAAAATATTTTTTTACTCGCATTTAACATACAATCTTTTGCTCTTTACAACCTTAAAATTCTTTGATTTGTCGGTGTCGTTTTGAAGAAATCTAGATTTGGATCATTTTACAGAAAAAAAACTAATCGATTTTGCACAGATTTTTTTTGCACGTATCTAACTTATTTTACTTCATCAAGTAGAAAGTTCTTTCCCATGGGCATCTTAAAAAAATTGCTTCAAAGTTCATGTTACAATATGAACTCTACTTACTTTGTTTAAATTCTTACTTTGAAAATTCAATAAAAACAAGTGTCAAGTACATCCTGCTAAGTAAGCTCATAACTCATAACAATAAAATTATATGTTTTGTAAACTATCAACCATCAAAAGTGGTCTAACATTTTTATAGCAGTCCTTTTTTGTTTTCAAAAGCTGTTATGGTCAAGTTAATTTTATAAACAATGATCTTGAAACAGATTCAGAAACAAACATATTTTTGTTTTTTTTTAAATCATCAAAATTTTGTAATGATTCAAGTCAAAATAATAAGTTATGTTTGTCGTTAACAGTAAAAAGAATTGTCTTTTTGTATATATACATTTCCACTTTCAATGATCTACTTGACACAATTATAAACACAAATGGTGAGACGATCTAACTGACGCTTAAGTACAATTTTAATAATTACTCTAATGAAAGAATTATTTATGATGTTGTTTATAAATAAAATGCTTATGAAACTTGGAGTCTATTAATTATATAAACAAAGAAAGTGAAAATTTATTACATCAATTCCAATTGAAAATCTATACTTGTTCATAGTTCATGTAAATAGCTAATTAAGATAAAAAGGTGATATGTAACCAATTAGCACTATTGTGTTTTTTCTTGATCAAATGTCGCTCTGTTTATCGTTCACTTTCATCCACTCCCATTACATTTTTTTAGCGTCAATATTGATCGCTCTCATTCTTTGTTGTCCAATTTTTCAAATAATCTCTCTATTTTGTAATTGTTCAAAACCAGAAGCAAGTCTGGTTTTGTTCTTGCCAACCTGTCAAAATTCAATAAGTTTAATCAAATGTTGCAAAGGCGAGCATTGTCTTGAAAACTAGCAGTATGTCACTACCATCAGATATAGTTTATGTGTTATTGTTTGTACAGCCCACTCTCGTAAGAGAAGAACTATTAATAGTGTGCTAAATGGGGTCACTAGGTCGATCAATGCTCTCGGCGTCCCGGCGCCTGCAATGGGCGCGTCCGACGCCAATTGGGCCACCTATTGATCCCCAACAGCCCCACGTGCGCCCAAGTTCTTAGTAGAACACCGCACCAACAACACTTTGCGCTCCTGAACTCCGCACTCTGCAGATTTAATGCGATATCCCGAATAGATACTGCGGATCTGCTGTGATCAATGCTGTTTACCTAATCTTTATTTTCCTTTTATCTCCGCAAGATTAAAACGGTTAGGCGAGGGAGCAAAAGGTAAAATTGATGTTGTATGGAAAACTGGTGTTTTTTTCAATACAATACATAAATTTAATTCATATCAAAATTTCTGTTTATAAATGGAAATGATGTAAGTGTAATTGGCAAAAAATTGCAATTAGAACTTGATGGATTTATAATGGTTGACGATTAATTTTATAATACGTAAAATACAAAAATAAATATTTTTCTGAAATCTTACCTTGACTTATGAAAAATTGAAAACCTGTCAAAAAAGATTCATAGGTTCTTTTTTTACAGCATAGCTGGGATGACATTTTCTCCTAAAGTTGAAAAAATATTTCCACGATGCTGTGAAAGAGAAATGGAAATGCCACTTGAGGATGAACAATAAGCGTATAAGAGGTTCATAAGGTTTTTGTTTGTTATTAGATGGTGAAGGAGACGGCATTCATGATGCGAGTACAAATGGCTTTTTAAAAAAAAGCGGGGAAATTTTCGAAAGAATAAAGAAGGGTGTGAGCGTGGGAAAGATTTTATAGATGCTAGGATATCTCAATTTTATGGCGGAGATGATACAGTGGGGCTCGTGAAATAGAAAGGGAGAAGAAAATTGGGAAAAGGGAAAAGCGAAAGTAACAGTTCCTTTGTTTGCTGACTCGTTGGAGTAGCAGGTGCAGCGAAATATAAATATTTTTATTTGTTCCAACCTTGCTCATTTAGAGCTGTTTAACCCTTCACCCTCGTGGTGGAAAACAACGAGGGTGGTTAGTGCCGTATCAGGAAATTACGAAATCAGGGTGGGACTTTGTAGATAAAAAAAATTATTGATTTGAAGTAAATAAATAGATACTTGTTTTATTTATGTTTTATTTGATTATCTCCTACTTTTTTCTGAAATTTTTAAATGATATAAATTTTTATTTTGAATTCCTTTAATTTAATTTTTTTTAGGTGGTAACTTATAAACCTACTAAGAAGATACATCTTTAACAATAGTGATAAACACATTAATCTCTTATTATTGATTAGTTTTGCTCTATTAAAAAAATCGTGGGAAATGTAGGTAACCCATTTAATAAAAACATTTCTCATAATACAGACCCAAAATGTACTTATAATTTATCGTCAAATTTAATCTCCAAACCGCTCTCGGTCCGTGTACCTACTTTTCAAATTGAAATTTAATGCTCTCCTTCCTCCAAACCCAATTATCATTAGTGTCCTTAACAATAACCACGTTACATAATGATTTATTACGTCCAAATCCATAACTCGTATTCATTTGAATTGAAGTGGTCTAATGAAACTGGCCGCAACTGGTCACTCTTATTTGCCAATGGCGTTTTCCATTGATTCGTATTATGAAAATTTAAGGAAGGGATCTCAAGGAGAAAGGGGTAGGATTTGGCGCTTTTCTGTTCCTGTAATGCAACGCAGCGAAGGTTTGACCTACTTCCTCGACACGTGTAGCTCTTCCACACTCCAGCAACTTCACTGTTTTTGTCCGGTTTTCCCGTCTCACAACGAACAAAAAGAGCCTTTCTGTCGCATCGACCTTTTCCGGCTCAAAAAATTTCAAATGATTGAAGTTCATTATACACGTTATTTTATTTTGTTATAAGATTATGAGATAAATTATTTATATTTATATGCCCGGAGGCTTACATTTCCGGTTCACATGTAGTACAGAAATAATTGTTTTTTATCTGAAAGAGGCTAGTAGAAATCTTATTCGATTTTGGGCTGCAGTGGGAAAAAAGCATTAGTGAAAGACAGTTTAACAAATTGTATTAATTAACACTTGGTTTTATTTTCTAATACGGATAATTAGAAATTTTAGTTGAATTTGATGAAAAATAGGATCTAATTAGAAGTTTATTTAACAATGTCAAACATTGTTTTAATATAAAATTTTGTAATAAATGCTTTTTGGTGTACACACAGTTTTATTATAAAATCTTGACGCCCTCTGTTATGCAGGAGATAGACTATATTTAACCGATTTAATCCAAGCTACCGAAAGCTGTATGATAGTTATTGATTTATTGTGCTTTTCGACCATATATTAGATAGACGCGCCATCCAGCGAGTTTGTTAAAACCAACAGGAATGGACAAGAGAAGTGAGGGGGGCATCTTACTCCTTGTTCAGTGGCGGCTCGTAAGCAAAAGGCAGAAAATGAAAAATATTATAAGTTTCATAAATAATGTTTCTTGTAAAAACTGGTGGTATTTCGAGATTTTCAAACTACTTCACCCTTTCGGTGTGATCATTTGAAAATCTACAACTATATCGTCAGAGATACAATATAAAAAATATTCAATGTAATATTGGGATATTAAAATACGTTACGACGCCACTGGTGTGTTCACATATTATGAATGAACCAATCAGAGAAAGAGTTCTCTAAGGATTAAATTTGCCAACCATCTAATATACAGGTGCACCAGAAGTCGCGCCCCAGAGAAAATTTTCAAGACAAGATACCAGGAACATGAAAAAAGTGTTTAAAAAAATTCTATCTGTCAAAATTTTTTGACATTTGACATTTTTTTTACATTTATTTAAGGATACTGATGATTTTGTATATGTTTTTTTACAATTATTTAGTAAAGGGACAAAAATATTGCCAATAAAAGCCACAGAGAACAGAGTTACAATTTAGGATACAGCTTCCTTGTTTCCTCTTTTAATAGCCTATAGCAAAAAAACTTGGAAAATTATTTTTCCAATAGAAATAAATAGAGCCAAAGTGCAAAACTTTAAACCCTCATAACTTCGAAATTTTTATAGATAATTTTTTTTAACATTTTTCCATGTCCTGGTATCTTACTTTATATGGGGCGCGAGTTCTGGCGCATTCTGTATGGTCGAAGGTTGTGCCTCTAATAATGGTTTCATATCAATCTAGCTTTTTTACTTTACATTTTACATTAATTTTTGCAAAACTAATACCTTATACTGTTTCTATGTTGCAAAGTCCAAAATGAAGAGAAAAATGAACTTTTCTTTCTACTGAGCTAGAATCTGAATCTCTGAAATAAGAGAAACTCGTCGATGGTGAAATTCTGTTTGTTTACTTTATTTCCATTTTATGACTAAAGTGACCAGGCACCAGGTAGAGAAGGTCGGATGATTGACAGCTGCCACAGAATAAAAGTCTAAATAGAGTATGCAACTTACAGTACAACAAATCTGAACAGTTCATTCGGTACCCTAGAGCCTTAAGTTTCTTGTTATGTTGACGTTAAAATACGCTTCAACTATGAAATACCTATACCTACCTGATAAAAAATGCACAATAACAATAAAGACATAATAATATAACAATAAAAGACTAATATCAAATAAAAATTCATTTACGTTTTTAAAACATGAATATTATATGAAACTGCAAGAAAACAGATTTTAAGAACAACATTAAAACGAAAGTATGTACAAATATGTACGAATAATTGTAGCTTTTTTCAAACAACAATATTTGAACCTAAAACACGTCCTGGAATTGTTTGTGCTAGATTTTAAAAATAATAAGTAGGTAGGTATGTATATCATAATAACAGTCGTTACAAAATATTTGTGGAAGTAACTAACTACATATACATGTTTATAAAATTATATAAAAATAGGAATAAGTTACATTATATACCAACGATATCGTTAACTAGTTACTAGAATACCTAATAAAAGTATCCAAAATTATTCCATATACAGGGTGTTAAAAAAGAGTGTAAAATATTTATAGAGGTAATAGTATGAACCAAAATAATCAGAAAGGTTTTAATAAACATGGGTCCGGAAAGTAACGGTTTCGAAGATTTAGAATATTATTCTATTCTAGCTTCTAGCAAAAAAAAGTTACATATAACTTATTAAGATGTTTAAAGTGCACTCCTTCCATTTCTTCCCAGGCACGACATCATGGTCTGAAGGATATTCGAACTCTTTCTAAAACCTCCTTATTGATTCGGATTTGTTGGCACTGTTGTAGCTGCAGCTCCTCGGAATACCATAGACTAATGTTTTTTAAAGGTTCCCCCCCCCAAAAAAAAAAAAGGTTTAAATCAGGCGCTCTTGCAGGCTTTGCCAACAACAGCCAAACACATACTTATTTGTTTCACAACACATCAGCCAACTATCACAAGAAAATGCAACTTTTTGCAAAATAAAAAAGAGGTAAAAAAATCACATTACATATCTCCGAAACCGTTACTTTGCGAACCCATGTTTATTAGGAGTTTTTTGTTTATTTTGGTTCATACCAAAATAATTTTACACTCTTTTTTTGACATTGTATACTGTACACTTTAATTGTCGTCATAAGGTATTTTATAAAATAATAAGTTTACATGAAATACCTATGCTTGAACGGTAACATATGTATACAATTAATACGTAATTACCTACAACTTAACAACTTATATTATATACGTCCTACTTATATTGACCCAAAATAATAGGTAAAGTCTGCTTTTTTTTAAATGGAAATGCCAAACAGTCTTAACGTTGGCACCACTAGTAAATTCATTTTAATCGTCGTCTGCGTTGATTGGCTATGGAGAAAAGCTGCTACCAATTTTTTCACCAAAATTTAGACTTTTTAAATTTATTTAAAGGAAAAACAGGCTTTAGACGTTGTGCGACAAAGCGTGTGTGTACTCGTATAAACTATAACGTATACTACAATAATATTTATGTTAAAATTTCAGTCAAAATTAATTTTGGTAGGCACCCAAGTACGCCTGACAATTAGGGCAATAATGGTTTTGACTTTGGCATGAATCCACGCAATATGGAATACAGCAGCAAAGGTAGCACCTGAAAAAAAATTTTAAAACAGTTTAGAAATAGTTTTAAAAAATCAAACAAATATTAACAATGTATAATAAACTACTTACTGGAATAAACATAAAATTAAAGCAAATAAATGAGTTTTTGTATTTGGTTCGGTTTGAACTGTTGTAGTGATTGTTGCATGGCAGGAAGGACAAACCACATGTTGGGGTGAAGGTCCAAAGTTCATTATTGCGGGTCCTGGGGTAATAACAACTAAAAATAAATAAGTGTTATCAAAATTTAAATAAAATCTACACTTTCTTTCATATTAAATATAAAATATGAATTCAATTTATTTTTATTTTTGAAAAAACATTTTTTCGAAAATCAAATTAGGTAATGAGGTCATCAAATTTTTAAGGGCTATTTTCACCAAAATGTAGATAAATTTATATTTCTTTCTTGATAAATAATTCTAGATTAGTTATTTTCCTATAATATGCTATCTTATCTTCTTATCTTATCTGTGCTATAAATGGTTTCTTGCAATACACATAGTATGTGATGATTACTGTTCAATTTCCAATAGGTACAAGCTACTTTTTGCAAATTTAAACTCGTCGCAATTCACAATTTGCATAGGTCTAGGAATTCACAACTGTTTTACTACATTAATAACTAAGTTTAAGATTTGTTAATTTTGTGTAAAAATGTTAGACATCAATGTATTTTAAAAGGTTGTTAAGTACTTAACTTAAATTTTTATGTACTTAGAAAGACTAAATCTAAAGTTAGTTACCATGGGTGGTGGAAGTGTGTTGATGGCTTTCGGGTGGAGGATAAGGTTCTGAAGAACTAAAGCCTGGTTTCACACCAGGAGGTGGCGGTTGTGGCATACCTTGTGGGGGCGGCGCCATTCCTGGAGGTGGCGGAGAAGCAGTATACGGCGGGGGATTGTCTTGGTACATACTGAGACTACAATTTAAAAAGACTAAATTTGTGTTAAGTAAATTTATTCTAGGTACATAGACAAGCAGGCAAAATGGTATATTAACAAGAAAGATAAGTAATTATGTAAATCTAGTTCAAAAATAATTTAACTTACAAATAACATAAAATAAACATACTTATTAAACTGTATTGATTATTTCACAAAGCAATTATGGGTTTCAGGATCATTCTGCATTGAATGCTTTAAAAATTACGGTAAAATTGTAGATCAAAAAGTTGTATTTGCTTAATAAGAATGTTGCATAAACCCGTCGTTCGTGTTTTAAAGGCTTGTTTATAAACTAGCATTATAATATACTATTAAAGTTAATACGAATAATACGATAAGTATTTTAAGAATTTATATGTTGTAAATTGAGTTATTCATTATTATCAGTTGACGAAAGCATTTTTAATAAGAATCATCAACGTTTTGGATACCTACCTAATAATTTTTTTAAAACTATAAAAATAGTATCTCCATAATACTGTCTTACCTTACTCAAGATGTGACAAATTTATTAAACATTTTGAATTTGATTTGTAGCATTAAAACTAACGGATTTTTTCTTTCACTTATTTCTGGGTCTTGATGTATACAGGGTGAATATAAAGAATGGAACCAAGCGGTTTTATTTTTAATCATTTGCCTCCAGAAAATAATAATTAATATAAATTAAAGTAATATAAAAAATATGATAGTATTTTTAGAACGAAATTTTGTTTTGTTTTTGAGTTATGCGATTTTTTTTTGTCAAAATTGCAATTTATGTAAAAAATTTTTTTGAAAAAATTAAATATAAAGCAGATAGTTGTCACATCATCATCACATTTTTATAGTACTTTATCACTCATCAATTAGTTTTTTCAAAAAATAAATAGTTTAAGCAAAAAACGTTTGGTTCCATACTTTTTATTCACCTGGTATGTATATGTGAACCAAATTATATCAATAAAATTGTTATACCTTATAAATCTAGGTATATTTATCTAGCATTACTGACTACATCCAAGGATTTAACATTGTGAAATGTGTTTTTCAGATTAAGCATTAGTAAATCCAAAATCCAACAATGAGTGAATTACTTTATAGCATTATTTATTGCAAATGTTTGTGAATACTTCATAAAATGAGCTATAATGATTAAAAAGAAATAATACAATGTGAGTCACTGCCATTCTACGTTTCATAATTAAACGTGCTAAAATCAAATTTTAAAAAAGAAGTTTTGAATATAAATCTTTATGAGTCATGAACAAGTTGTGTATTTTCAAATGACATTGTGTTACATAGAAATAACAGAAAAATGGAATAAAAAAAATGTGTTCAGAAGTAAAATTATAATAACCTTGATCTATTTAATTGTGTGTTGTGTAAGCTTTAATTATTATTATGTATTAGTGTAAGTGTCCGGCTTTTTAATTCTGTACTGTTTCGGACGACAGAAAATATGCTATAAATATTTTACGATTAAAATTAGTAGTTGTCTAATAATACTCGTTATCATTTTAAACTTTGATAGACAATCTAAATGCGAACAAAATTTATTTGAACTTTGTTTTCCACATTTGAAGTTCTAGAAAAGGTTTTATGTTATAAAAGCTCTATTAGGTAAAATCTAGTCACAACACAAAGTAGGTATGTGAATGTTTCGCTCTGAAAATCGATAAGCTTTGGGTGTATTTATTTTGTGATTGGATTATCCTCAATTTTTATTTAAAAGAGAAATAACCAACCTATGCAGTCCTCGAATGCATTGTATTAAGAAAAATTAGACAATGCGTTTAAATAATTATCATATGGGATGTTCTACAATGAAATATTGGCTTATGGCTTACCTGTTTGCGTGACGATAACAGTATCTAGCTTTCACTCGATTGTTGAAAATGAAACTCTACTGTAGAACTGTGGCACTGTATATCAACTGTGATAATAATATTTGAAGTTCCTAGCAAGGTGGAGTGGAGCATTTGTTACGTGGCCACGTGTTTGCTTGCGTCAAACTTTGGTCAACAAATTATTCAATGTACCTATCTATACAAATTTAAAAATTTGTATCGAAAAGTAATTGGTTATTACCTTTTATGTGTCTAATAGTAGCGTGAAAGGCTAGGTAGGTACGTGTTGCTTTGAATGTAAATTAAATTAATGTAAAAACATATGAAACACTGATGGATGACGTCAATGATGATAACACAATTTCTTGTAAATGTTGTGAAACCAATTTAGTTGTTTTGAATTAGTAAGGATTAAACAATTTTTTAGGTTAAATAAGAAACTAATAACATAACTTTTACTAATAACTTTTGATTAATTATTATATTTAATTCATAGTTGTTTCCATGATCAAAATACAGACGTATTGTTTTCAGGAATTGTTGTAATAAGACCCTAACCGATTTTCAGATACAACCCAAAATACATTCTCACAGATAACTTGTTGCATTTGAAAAAGTTGAATTATTATTAAATTCAAATCAAAGTAGTTGTTGATATATCATTCATTTTTTTAATCAAACGACGAAAAAACTAACACGATCACGATATAGGTACCTATAGAGAATGCCACAAAGTAGACATAAATATATGACTCGTCCTGTATTTTAATAACATTTTTAATATAAAAATCTTTTTGTTGCACATTTACAACTCTTGAATGAAGATTTCCAGAAAAAATGACTACATGTACTGATAAGATAGTATTCGCAATGATATGTTATCCAATAGCTGTGTTAACTTGTTAAGTAGTAATTCTTGACAGTGTGATTTCCTGTGTTTGTTTCTGTCTTGATATTTTATATCATGGAGCAGGTTAACGATTACAAAGAAAGACTTGTGTCTATATTTCAAGGAAGTTCAATAAGTGAAAAACAAATTGATGAAGTGATTGATATTGTGTTAAATAATTCTGATAACAATATTGCACCATTTGAAAATCAAATAGAGATTATGACAGATCTATTATTAGAATCCGGGGATTCCTGCTTATCGAAAAAAGGAGAAAGCTCATCAGGAGCAATTAATACATATTTTACAAACAATTATGCTAATAGTAAGTGGAATAATAAAAACATTATTTGACATATTGTGTATTAAATGCATACTATGCATATCAAAAAATCTAATCGAATATTTTTTATGTTTTAACTGTTGCGCAGGTGAAATTAAAAATAAATGTAGTTTTAGATGAAAATGAAGAAGGAGCTGTGGGTTTTGCTCATACCACGTATGGTTTAACTAAAACGGAGACTAACTCATTGTTGACTCTCTTTCCCGACATTTGCCCTAAATTTTTGGATTGTTTTGTAAAAAGAAATCCCGCTTTGAATTTTGATGAAATTGTTAATGAATTGTCCGAAAGTAAATATGTATTTCAAGGAATGTTATAGATAAAATTTCAATTGTTTTAGTTGACTATGTAAAACGGGAGGTGGATCCTCTAGATATGTGGGAGGATCTTAAAGAAATGTTACCTAATGCCGATCCGACGTATTTGAGAAATCAAGCACGAGTATTGGCTAAAAGACCCTTAGAAGACTACGAAGAATTTTTAAAAAATGCTATTGAAAAAAACGATTATCCCACCTTGCAGGATTATTTAAGGTTGTACAAAATTACAGCAACAAGAGTGTTTTTATATAATTTTTAGAAAGCAAGAGAAATTAGAGGATATTTCTGTATATACTGAAAAATTTACTGTGGCCAATTACTTGAAAATAATTCCAAATCCAGTAGAATTTTTTACAGATCCTGAACGAGAAGCCATCTTAGCTGACAGCGGATCTAGCAAAAGTGATGAAGAGTTCGCCCTTAACTTTCTTTATAATCAGTTTCCGTATTTACGACAAAATCAAATTCAAAAAATTTTTAACAACTATGGCAAACATTTAATTAAAACATGCAATAAACTGACGATTTTACCTCGAGATTTTAGAAAACCACGAAAGTACATCGAACAGAATAATGAATGTTTTAATGTTAAATTGTTACAAGAAGTACAATAGAATGTACCGTTTTGGTTTCTAAGCTTTTAATAAATTATTTTAGATTGCTTTTTTGAAACATGAAACATCTATCAGGCGGTACGTGAAGATGAAGAATGATACATATCGTAAGGCTTTAGAGGAAGCCAGGAAATACGGATTGCTTAAAACTTGTCTTTGTTGCTTTGACGAGGAGCTCATTCCTGAAGAATGCTTATTTTGTGATAAAAATTGTAGTTTTTGCAAAAATTGTGTAAAATTGGGTGCGGAACATGTGATCGGAGAGGGACGAACAAAATTCCCGTGTCTGGCTGATTGTCCTTCTGAGTTTAACTATTCTGTTTTAAAAATGGTTTTGCATGATAAAGTTTTTAAACGATTGTGTCAGAGGAAGCAAATTGAAGAAATAAAAAGTGCCAATATAGACGGATTAGAAACTTGTCCGTTTTGCGATTTTTCAATGGTGCCAAAAGAAGGTGATAAGATATTTAAATGTGGAAACATCGAGTGTATGAAAGAGTCGTGCCGAGAATGCCGTCATGTAGCTCATATACCTTTAAAATGCTCTGAAATTGAGTACGACGAAGATGTTAAAATGAGGACGTACATAGAAAATGAAATGTCTGAAGCTCTTCTTAGGTACAAATTAAGAGTGGTTGCAAAATAGTGAATTTAAGTCTTATTGTTTTATAGGACATGCTGGAAATGCTCAAAAAAGTTTTATAAAGAATCTGGCTGCAATAAAATGACTTGTCTTTGTGGGGCTAAAATGTGCTACGTTTGTGGTGTGGCTGTGCAAGACTACTCCCATTTTGGTAGTGGAAGGTAAGACCTAAGTAATTAAGTAACTAACACAAATTTGTCTTACTATTGTTTTAGGTGTCCACTTTATACTGAAAATTTGGACCAGTTTCATTTTAATAACGTTATACAAAGAGCACAAGCTGCAAAAACTACATTGGGAGTTGATAAAAACCCTAATAAGCTTAAATTTGATCCAACAAAAAATTTTAATTTGAAATGAAATACATAAGTATGTAAGAGTTTTTGCAATAAAGCATCAATGGTTTTTTATAACAAACTAACAAAGACGTGTTTTATTGTTAATATTAGTATTTTGTGTGTTTTTAAGCAGCATTCTAGTTTTCGGATAATATTGTAAGTATTACTGGTTGTCTAACCAAGTTACTATTTTTGCTCAAATTCGGTATTATGAAACTTCGAGATCAGCAAATTTGTGCTGAAAGCCGGTAAGAATGTGATGGCGGTGGAAGGTTAACTTTTTATTTGTTGTGGTTTTCAAGTTTTTTTTCAAATTTTTGTAAGTATTTGAACATGCCGATCAACTTATGGATCTATTAATTAATCCATGATTATGAATGTGCATCAGAAAAGTTGTACTTGTAAAAAAATGCTTATCTAAGGGATTTCCCCATTTTTTGCACATGCCATTGTTTTTACTACATGTTCCACATTGCGTAGTTTTGATATTGAGCTTCTGAGCATGTTGTTTAATTGTTTGTGATCTTGATGTGAGAAAAGAGAATAGTAACTCGTTTTTCTAACCTATTTTAAAATATCCACCTATTGCTAATATTTATCTGGGAGGTGCTTCCATACTCCACTTGATTAGAATTGCGGTTTCTTACTTTTCTGTATTTTAGTTTACAATCATGGCTTGTGAATACAAGCAACAGTTGAGTCAAATCTTTGATGATTCTCATGTATCAGAACAACAAATTGATAATGCCATTACTATTGTTCTGGAGAATAATCCATTAACCCCTGAAGAAAATTTAGAGGAAATGATTAATCTTTTAGTAGAGTCAGGGGACTCTACTCTTGGAGGAGGTGCTGCTGGAGTCACCCCTCAAATGGGTAACAGTAAATTCAGTCAGTACTTTGATAGACTGTCAATGCTATTTCCTGATATTTGTCCAAACTACTTAACACATTTCTGTCAAAAGTACGATTATTTTGATTTTGACGAAGTTGTAGAAGACTTATCGAAAAGTAATATTTTTCCTTAATTTACAAATGATTTGTGTTATGAGTTGTTTTGTAGCCGATTACGTTAAACTGGATAAAGACCCATTAGATGTTTGGGAGCACCTTAAACAAATGTTGCCTAATGCTGATCCAATTTATTTGAGAAACCAAGCAAGAGTTTTAGTCAATAGACCTGCAGGAGAGTTGGAACAGTTTATTGAAAACGCCATTCAAGAAAACAATTATCCCACCATGCAGGAATATTTGAAGTAGTTCCAATGATAATTACATATTCCTTAATTACATTTCATTGTTTTTGCAGGAATAAGGAGTTGGCAGTTGGTGTGGCACTGTATGAGACCAACTTTTCAGTTGACGCTTATCTCAAAGAAATCCCCAATCCAGTTGAAATTTTCACAAATCCTAATCGGAAATCTCCTTTAGCAGAAGCTAATGAGAATGATGTTGCGTTTGCATTAAATTTTTTGTACAATCAATTTTTATTTTTACGTAAAAGAGAAATTGCAAAGATTTTTGATCATTTTGATAAAAATTTGGTTAAAACCTGTCACAAATTAAAAACTTTGACCAAAGCATTTAGACATCCTAGAACAGTCACTGAACTAAACGAGTGCAAAAATATCGAGTTATTAAAAGAGGTTATTAGATTTTTTGCTCGGGATTGTTTTTCTCAAAATTTAGTTTTAGGTTGCTTTTATTAAACACGAAAAACAGATTAGACAAGTATTGAAACAAAAAGATGATAAGTATCGACTTGCATTGGAGGAAGCAAGATTGCAAGGACTTTTACAAACTTGTGCTTGCTGCTTTGACGATAATTTAATCCCAGAAGAATGTTATTTTTGCATCAAGGGTTGTATTTTTTGCAAAGATTGTGTAAAATCGGGGGCTGAAAACGTAATTGGGAAGGAGGAAACGAGATTCCCATGCCTTGCAGATTGTGACTCAGAATTTGATTATTCGACTTTGCACGTGTGTATATTTTCTCAATAATTAACTTTTGTTAATTTATTATTTAGATGGTTTTGGATCGGAAAGTGTTCCAAGGTGTATGGCACAGAAAGCAGATTGAAGAAATTCGCAATGCTAACATTGACGGTTTAGAAACCTGTCCATTTTGCGATTTTTGTATGATTCCCGATGAAGGAGATAAAATTTTTAAGTGTGCTAATGTCGAATGTATGGCCGAAACATGTCGCTTATGTCGCCATAGGTCTCATGTACCTAAAAGATGCAACGAAATCGAATATGACGAAGATGTTAAAATGAGAACATTCATAGAAAATAAAATGACTGAAGCACTACTGAGGTAATAGCCCATTTTCTTCTCGAGTTTTATATAATATTTTGCTTATTATTTGGATAACTTGTGTAATTACAGGAAGTGCTGGAAGTGCTCTAAACAATTTTACAAAGAATCAGGCTGTAATAAAATGACTTGTCCTTGTGGGGCTAGAATGTGTTATGTGTGTGGTCAAGCTGTAAATGATTATACACACTTTGGTGCTGGCCGGTAAAAGTTTGTAGTTTGTTTGTATTAAGTGTTTTTGAAATAACTTTTTTAGATGTCCTTTGCATACTGAAAATTTGCAACAATTTCATTTAACTAGGATACTTGAAGGTGCTGAATCCGCCAAAAATGAGTTGGGAATTACTGCAAATCCCAATCTCCTTAAATTTGATCCTACAAGGGGAATTGAAAATCAAGTGGCTTAGACCGGCATTTTTGGAACTTCTATTTTTGTATCTTTAACGCTGTGGCCTTATTCTTCTAATACTCGCTGTGATCAGAATGTTTTCCTTTTTAAAGTAACATGAGTTAGTTTAAGTTTTTCTTAGGCAATACTTTATTGTCCTTGATTTTGTTCTAAATATATAATTAATTAAAGTTTATTAAGTTACAGAATACCGGATATTGAATTTTTTGTTTTTACGATTTATATTAGTCATAAAGATTGGATGATAATTGCTCATGTATTTTTAATAAACTGTTTCTACGTTTATGAGTTTTTTTCATCAAAGTTAGTTACACGTTATTGCAAGATTTTAAAATAAAATATTTTTTATTAAATAAAATATTTTTTTTTAACTTTAAACAATCTACAACATTTTCCTCAAGCAATACTTTATTGTCCTTGATTTTGTTCTAAATACATGATTAATTAAAGTTTATTAAGTTATAGAATACCGAATATTGAATTTTTTGTTTTTACGATTTATATTAGTCCTAAAGATTGGATGATAATTGCTCATGTATTTTTAATGAACTGTTTCTACGTTTATGATTTTTTTTTCATCAAAGTTAGTTACACGTTATTGCAAGATTTTAAAATAAAATATTTTTTTTAACTTTAAACAATCTACAACATTTTCCTCAAGCAATACTTTATTGTCCTTGATTTTGTTCTAAATATATGATTAATTAAAGTTTATTAAGTTATAGAATACCGAATATTTATTTAAATATTAAATAAATATTTTTTTTAACTTCAAACAATCTACAACATATTTTTTAAAAATAAAAAACTTTTTCACTTCTAGAATTATTATTCTAAACACTATGAAAGTACATCACCACGGTCTATACATCCCGAATAAGTAATTACAGTCTGGACAATAATGGTAAATATTTTTGCATGAATTCATGCAATAGGGTAACATCGCGCAAGGCCAACAACCAAAAAGACATAACGCCGCAGCTGTAATATGTGTAAATTTTGAGCGTTGAGCTTGTGTAACTGTGATAACAACAGTTGCACAGTGCGAGCACCATATGTATATAGGGTCTGGCCCTAGTAATATTTCTTCAGCTGAAAAATGAAATACATATAGCAACAAACGTCACATGTTGCCACAATCATACAAGAATTGTTACTTATTTCCCTAGACCAGTCACGATGGATTTGGTTATAAGAGGGCGGAGGGATTCTTGAGAAGGGACTGATATGCTGCATTTCCATAGACCTGACATCTCTTCTTATATCTAGCGAGGGACGTCCTTGCTTTATTACCGTGGAGTAGCTCGGGGGCATACAGGGGGGTGATGGTGATGGTGCTGGTGGTCTTGTCTTAGCTGCATGTAGACGGGCCAAATATTGTTCAACGGCGACATCACTTTGCGATTCGGCGAATTGTGTCGAAGTTCTGAATATTTCGTATGTCGGTAAAAGGTTCGATTGCCTAGAATAGACTTGCGGGAGTTGGGGAGTTCTTTCATGTCGGACTGTGGAGGCTTGCACATTTGCTTTTGCATTTTTTGGGGTTGGATTACTTGTTGATGGTGCACTAGCACTAGATACAGTTTGGGAACTTACAGGATGTGTGTTGATTAACTCATTTACTAAAGCCGACACTGCTTCGAAAATTTCTTGAGGACTCTCTTCATTCTTTACATTGGGGTTTTCATTCATTACTTGGACATATTTTGGATTCGGTTTTCATTTGATGGACATTGTCAAAGTCAATTCAACGTCAGTCTTTTTCAAGTAATTAATTTTTTAAAGACTACGACTATTCTGAACAAAATTATAATTCCAAACCATTAGAACCATAATTATTAAGTAAAATTTTGATTTATAGACAATGAATTCAAAAATACCATTAATGGTAAAGCCTGAGAAAAGAATATAACGGGTGGAATTTTTGATCTTTTGTTTTGCATTTTTGTTGTAGAAGAACCCCACTTCTACAATTATTAACATATTTGTGGGCTTTATTCATTAATTCTTTTAACTGAATTTAGGAGCAAGAACATACAAATTAGAACTATTTCATAATATTCACCATTCTTTATTATTATGTTTTCTATTCTATTTAACTTTAACTATTATAGATACTATTCGTGCCGAAATGAGGAAGAAAAGAACTTATTAAAATAAATAAAATATTTATTAAACGCAACAATGTCGTTACAACAAATTTTAAACTTACAACTACGTTTAACAAATATTTCATATTCGACTAGCAAACATTTGGGGTTTCCACTTTGACGTCCTTTGTGGAAGGAATGAGTTTTCCCTTCTTTTTATCATAAGTCCCAAAGCAGTAGCCACATTTTCGACAACAAATAATCGTATTTGTGCCTCCGCACATCAACATTGGTAAGAAACACAATGGCCAACACCCTAACAGGAAAAATGCTCCCAATGAATTGTAAGCAACCTAAAAAAATAAACTCGGTGGAATTTTGGACCAATGTGATAGCTCACTTTATTTCTCTGTTTTCTTATGTAAGGTTGGTCGGTATTTCCACATTTGGGACATTGGATCGATTTAGAACCGGGACGCCAGGACTCGACTAAAAATCAGTTTTTATCATAATTTAAAAAAGTTGGACGTACCAGTTGTTTTGTAAAGATTTTTATTCCTTTTGTTGTTACCATTGGTTTTGCATCCTTTTAAAAGCTCGGATGTTTTTTTCAGTACTGCACTTGCTGAAAAAAATCTATAGTTTGGACGTGATTTTACAATTACGTTTTGCTTACTTTTGTTACTGGTTTTACTGTTGGATACGTCTTCACAATTTTCCATAACAAAATGGGTCATGGATATTTCGGGGTGGTTTTTTAAGAGGTGTTCGCCAAGTGTGCACATGTTTCCATCTTTACAAACTATGCTGTTTCCACAAATGCGACATATTCCGGAACACTCCATCAATTAAACAAATATTTTCTTAAAAGCGACGGTGATGGAGGGAGGCATTTTTAGAAAGACTTTTAATTTTGGAACATTATTACTTCACGTTAATTTTGGCCACATTATTTGACAATTTCTCATATTGACATACAGTTACACAATTTGACAATGTTCAACTGACAACAAGACAGCTTAACGACAGACAAAAATGAGGAAACTAGGGATAAGACAAAACTGTGCACAAGACCAATTTTTAACCTTTATTAGTATTTTTTACATCATTTTTAAATTACATGTTTCCATTTTTACAATGATTTTTAAGTTTTAATATTTTAATTTGCTACCGATTATTTACTAACAGATTATAAGAAATGTTACTTAAAATTACTTTTAGAAAATACGTCTGTTATAATACAAATCAAATTTTTTTCATACCTATTTAAAGCTTTATCATTAACAGTATGTACATTTAATACAAATATTGGATTATCACAATTATAATAAGGCTCTGATAAATTAGGTATTTGTCTATACCTTTTTTAAAGAAACAAACTTTATATAAAATACTTATGAACATTTAAGAAAATAGATATGTCTATAGCAGCGATTATAAAGTAATTTTGTGCTTCTATCTTTTATACGTTACGTGTATCGCCCTCTAAATTTGATTTTATAAGTTGAAACGAATTTTTATTCGATCTTCTACATTTATTCTAGAAACGATTTCCAAAACTATATTTCAACAAAAAAAAAACAGAATTAGCTTCTTGATTCTACACTATGTCTTATTTATTTGTCTATTTTAGAAGATAAAATTGCATTTTTGATTGAAACTATAGTAGTTAAATAATAGGAGTAATTAATATTTCTATTACCTGAGTTTCATATAACACATTATACAGCGAGTAGTTTAATTTTCTTTAAAGACTAACTACTATAATTATATGGATACTTGTGCTCCATACGAAAAATGAAAGATGAATGTGTGATTTTGAATTATTCACCAAAATTTTTATCATTTACTTATTTTTTTTTAATTTTAGGGTTGTTAGACCAGAGAATTAAATTTATCTAAACATTAATTATTGATTTTAGGATATGTAAATTTTATTAAAGAGCAAATTAAATGTTTTTGAATTGCCAAAATCTTTTAAAACATCATTACACTTATTATTTCTTACAGCATTTTTTGATTAAATTTAAGTTCACACAATGATATAAATTTAATATTTATTCTTCCAACAAAGTGATTGCCAATTGTGTAAGACGAAAAAGTAGAACAATTTTGTATTATTTTTTTTACGTACTAAATTTATTGTTGTATGTATTACCTTTTATTTATTGTAGATTTTAAGACATTTTCACACTGATTCAATATTTTCTTGAATGGTAACTAAATGAATTTAAAAATGATTTAATTTAATGATAAAAAAATGTTTGAAAAATTCTGTTTATCTGTTTAATGATTCATGATCAGTATCTACTTGAAATAAATTTTTGGATACTTTTCGTTAAACAGTTAGGTATATCGGTGATTTAAAAATGTATTCTATACACGATTTTTTGGTATTGTTGGAAGATGTGGGTTTGTACTTATTTATCTTAAACATATGCTCCAAAAATTTGTATGTACCCTACTTGCGTTTTTTTTTTTTAATATTTTTAATAAAAAGAAAAAAAAAACTGCGAATTTGTGACCTGTTAGGTATGTCATAGAACAACGTACAAAAAACTCATTTTATTTAATTCTATATTACATCACATACTTTTAAGTGTATACTCGTTGCAACAGTGTTTGTGTCGTTGGGTTTGTAAAGAAATTTCTATAAGAATAATAAAAATAAAAATTAACCAAAATGTCGGAAATACATTTAATTTGTATATGTTACGACACAATCATCACTCTTGCTGTTGTAAATGTAGAAAAAATAAGTATTTTTAAAGCAGTTTAGTTTCCTACCTTTAGAAACACTTAACGTCTACTTCAGTTAAAAAACTGACAAAATATAAAATTGTTTTCGCTATCGTCAATAGTAGTTTGTAAAGCATTTGAATATTTGGTTAGCCTTGATTAAATTTAAAATTTATGTACATTACTTTTAATCAACGTTTATATCATTACATAGTTTTATGTCTACTACTGAACGGGACATTTTCTAATTTTTTCCTTACTGTAAATATCCTTTCTTCTTCAAATGAATGCACTCTTCGACGTCCTGTAGGAACTTCTAAAGTCTCAGGTGTGTTGTCTTGTTCACGTTCCGACTTGCTATAAAACAGATTTGGAGTAACTAGGGAGCCATACGTGGATTTATATTAAAAAAGATATATAGGCATATTGAGGATTATAAAAGATCCTCAATAGTGCCATTTATATTAAGCCAAAGAGAAAATAAATCGCTCTGTACATAAATATGAAATTTGAAAGTATAATGCCCTCGACGTCGTTTTATTATCTGGTTTTCTTTGTATGAAGTTATAATCCTGAACATTGAGTCGGCTAGTCCGAAAGTTCAGGCTTTCTGGTTCTGAAATGGAATCAGGGGCTACGTGTGATAATACACTCGACCAACTTAGAAGTTTTGAGAAGAGTCAACGATAGTCAGATATTACGTCCAAAATTGTACAAATAATACATATTAATATATTAATAAATTAATATATTAATCAGATCAAGTGTATATAGTAAATTTTTATTCCAACATAATTATTGTATATTTCTTTGTTAGTGGCAGTTCCTACAATTTGAATAATTAAGAAACACAAATAACCAAAAAAAGGAAATCTTTTCTACTTACTCGCCATAGGATTAAAATAAGGATTAAAAAATTGTTATTGTCCGGCGAACCTCGCTACATTTGAGTTCGAGTTGCAAGAAACAATGGTGTAGCCTTAACCACATTTTTGTTTTAAACAAATTTCACATTTTAATTTTTTTAATTTTAAATTTTAGTTCGCGATTAATTTGATGTTTGGAAACGTAAAGTAACTAACAACTTAATTGGGATTTGTTTAGTCTTGAGTTAAATTTTATTTCGCCTTTTCTAAATCGATTAATAATGGCAAATTGAATTCCATTGTCACCTTAAATAAAAATGAATTTTTGGTAAAAGTTTATGTTTGGACACATCAAGACACTATCCCGTAGCCAATCACATGGTAGCATCTTGACGTCATATCAGGCGAATCGGAGGGTTGTTTAATTGTACGATTGTAAAGGGCGTAAAAAATGGTGAACGTGGACTTGTGTAGTATTTGAATTATTATGTAATTCTGTCTTGTGGTTTCATATCACAGTATTTCTGTTTGCTTTATATTGAAAGTGTTCAAAACCTAATAAACTTTTAAGAATAAAAGAATTACTTCATTGTAGGAAATTCAATTCAATCAATTGTTTCTTTTATAATTTCTTTACAACTTTGTTTCAGGACAGAAAGAGAAGAGTAGTGGAGTTAATTTTCTTTAAAATATTGTTGTAGTTTTAATTCATTTTTTTGTTATATACATAAAGACCCTAATCGATTTTCAGACGCAACCCAAAATACATTCTCAGATACCACTATGCGTTAATTAATGTTCTGTTTGAAATTTTTCAAAGATATAAACATAGATACCTGTGATAGCTTTGACAATTTTTATAAATTGGAACCCTACGGTCTACCTTTGATGGTACAGATTCAGACACAACATTTTGTGGCATTCTCCTTTTGTCAAAATCATGTCAGTTTTTTCATCTTTTGAGTACATTTTGAATTCAAGAGAAAATGAAAATGGAATTTTTGACACTGTCAAATTTAACTAATGACATATCAACAATTACTTTGATTTAAATTTAATAAACTAAATTTTTCAAATGCACAAGAAGCAAAGTTGACTGTGAGAACGTATTTTGGGTTGCGTCTAAAAAGCGGTCAGGATCTTTATTCTAAGTGACTTAGCCTGTATGTATATACTATTATTAATAAAATCTTTGATAAATTCGTACATGACTACAGGCACCTATACTTTAAACATTTAGTATTTGTTAATACATATTATGTAAAAAAACAACTCCAAGAATTTCTATTTGAAATTGTTAGAATCAATTCACCCTGTGTGTGTATTCCGTACCGCGTCCCTTTTAGGTCCCATAACAGTTTGTGGCCAATAGAAATATTCAAATGTTAATTAAACGTGGAGTGCTGTATTTGAGAAATAGCTTGGGTAATGCTTTCCCTAGTGGTCAGTCGAGACACAAATAGATTGTTGTATTTAATTGGGCACTTGTGCTGATTCTTTGATAAATTACCTGAGTTCCAAGCGGGTGAGGCGCTGCTTCAGCTTCGCCTGACTGGCGCTGAATTCGGCAAGAAGTCTAGCGAGGCGTGTTTGTAATATTTCTACAGTATTCTCTAATTTTTTGATGCTATCGAGCACCGAATCCTGAGTTTCTTTGGCCTTTTTGAACACATCTTCATCCAGTAGACCATCCTTTCGCAAAAGCTGACATCCTCGCTCGGTTAACGTTGCTCTTGCCTGGAAAAATACGTTTTTAGAAATACTTCCTTTGGGATCCGATTCGATCTAAACCAACCTCTGGATAATCCGCCAGTGCGACTAAGAGGTCGTCCTTGGCTAAACAGAATAAGTCCGAATAGCCTAACGACCGGACATTAGCCGTTCTTCTATTTCCGGTCCGATTTCCGGCAATATCCAATACACTTACTTCTCCAAACACCGATCCTGCGCCTAATGTCGCTAATACGTTTACACCGTCGTCGGCCACCACCTGTAATCGACCCCTTTTGACGATATACATCTCTTTGCCCACGTCGCCTTTGCGGCAAATGTAATCACCCGGAGAAAACACCTGAAAATGCGAATTTGGTTGCTCCAGATTTAACGAAAGATTCAAATCAAGCAAAGGAAGGAATGCAAAGAAAAAACTTTATCTTTTAGCACTGCAATAAAATTGTAACCAGAAATCATTTTAATAATAAGTAGATTAGACTACGGAGAAATAAGAGTAAATACTCAATAAATCTTTAGATAGGTAGTACTAGTAATAACTTAGTAGGTTTACATATTGCTCATACTATATTATAGGCAATGAAACTTTTACTTAAATGTTCAGAATCGCGATTTCCAATAACATTACGTTTTAAACTTTTTTTTTAACTTTGACTTTGCTGTAAAATTTTCCCTTTCTTTACTATAGATAAATGTTTAAAGTGTCTGTTTTCACAAATTAATAATTTCTAAGTTAAAAAAGATATTTTACCAAGAGGCTTCAGTGTTGTTTAAGAAAAAAATGTGATTGAATAATTGAAATTTTGTTTGTAATGTTTTTCAATGAATGGCAATTTGCTTTAGATAGGTGAAACTTTCTGCTTTAATATCGAATTATTTTTATTAAGAAGTGAATTGTAAGTGTATTTCAATATCGGGTGGTTAGAAAAATAAACGAATTCGGTTTAATAATTATTTTATATCTTCGGAATGCTTTGAGATAGTAATTTCAATTTTTGCTTTCTAAAGAGGCAATAGATTAAACATTACACTACTCAACAATTTTTTTTAATGTGATTGATCTATTGACACGTGTATCAGGGTACATTAACATCCCTAATTACGAATTCGATAAGAAAAACTCTCCATCACGTACAGATTTTAAGTTACAGGAGAATATTTTTCTCAAATTTTATCGTAAAAATTGTTCATTTCAAATAGAAATTAATTAAATAGACGACGAAAGAAATTAATTTATTCACTAAACAAGAACAATGTTGAAAGATGTATAAGATTCTAACATAAATCTGTTGTAGATGAGTTTTTTGCAAAAGCTGATTTTCTTTTGTAGGGTGTTTTAACTTCCCTTATTAGGAACCAGCAGTAATCTCCCATCATGGCTGGATCCCATCTCCCTTGGTCCCTCTTTTCCATCGTCAATATATCTTGGTGGAACCTTTCCCCTTGCCCGTCACTAACGGCACCCAAATTTGGGGGAATTTTTTTTAATGAGAATGGAGGAAATGAATTTTAAGTGTTTCGTTTTTCGGCGATTTTGTCGAACATACTTACATATGATATCTTAAAATGCCTAACTTTAAAAAAATAACTGTTTTCTTCTCAGTCACAAAATGGTTGTTGGCTAGTGTTATTTTTGTCAAGTTACAAATATTTATTTTAAAAAATAAAGGAAGTGGCGATTTTTTAATCTCATTGATAAATTAATAATCGATGTATTCTTTTGTTAAAACAAATAAAACAAATGAAGTTGTGTTTGCAGTCAGTTGTTACTTAGTAAATATAATTAGTTAAGTGACATTTTGCGCTAATTAACTTAATTTTTTGGCTAAAAATGGCATCTCATTAATTTTTTCATAAATTGTAAAATAAAAAACGTATGTTGAAAGAAGACGGGAATTATTTGAAAGATTTGCCGTTGTGAATTTACAAAATGGCAATCCTATACAACATGTTTAAAAGTAGAATGCACTATACAGGATGGTAGAATGTTTAAAAGTATGGTCAACGTCAAAATAATTTGGCATATATAATTTTCAATCTGTTGTTTAAAAAAAACAAAAACTGAAATCGCTATCTCAAAACGTTACAGAGATAGGAACACTTAAACAAGATTTGTTTTTTTCTAGCCACCCGGTATAATTCTGCTTTCTATCTTGTTTTACTTTGACCTTAGAAAATTTGCTATACTTGTTGAATTTTTGATTATAAAATTTTCTACCGAGAAAATTCAAATTTAAAAACTTAAACGATGTGCGTTTTTTGTGTTAACTTTTCGTCGATTAAGTAAGAATTTTATTCGTTGGCATTAACGATATGAGTATTAAGTTCGTAAACCTCATAAATATAAACGAGGAAAAAAGGATGGTCTCGTTTTCGTGTAAACAAACTGAAGGCGACCGAAATATTACATAAATCATAGGCCTACCTGCAGGCGTAATTTGAGCACGAGAGCCTCCAGTAATCCAGGCTCGCAATCCTGAAATATCCTTACTTTTCGAAGTGTTTCTAAGTGTACTCTAATAGCAATTTCCGCTTTCAATTTATCTGGTAGAGCCGATAGGACGCGTTCTTCGTCCAAAGCTCCGCTTTCTGCCCATGTATATGCGAACCAACGAATTACCCTAGCTTCCAGTTCGCGACCCACTTTTCTGAAGGCCATGTACTGCTTAACTCCATCCATACGGTTTTGGAAATCGACACGGGCCACATTCATGTTGGATATCATCGAACCGATATTACCTACAACCAAAAATGTCTTATTTACTTCAACTCAACTTAATTAATTAAAGTTGTAGACATGGATCGGTACAAGATTAATTGATATGCTTCCAACTTTTAGTCAAACATGCTTTATGAGCATGCAAAAGTCATGTCTCTAATATTAAACACAGTTGGTGATTGTTCGGGATTTAGAAACCATTGTTTAGTTATTAGAATAGTTTCGCAAATCTAAGCTAAGAGGATTTGCAGGTATGGGGGCTCTCAACGGAATTATGGTGAAGTAAATAGAAACTGGAGTATTGACATTGCTCACAGTTTGCAGTGTTGGTAAAAAAACTCCAATTTTGCATGTATTTTATTATTAGGAATCACTGAACTCTCACATTTCACATTTGGTAAAGCTTTCCTTTGACTTACGTCTAAATTTCCTATTCAAGGCAATTCTAAAGTCAACATCAACAATAAATTTGAATGTGTATATTGTTTATATTTGAAGTTATGATTTCACAGTTGTCTAGCTTGTGTTTGTCTGCCCGAATAGAGAAAAATACATTTACATATTCGGAGCTTCAAAGTAAAGGTGATAAATTAGTTTGGCATGCTTTTCCAACGGAACTGTTAAAAGTTTTATCTTCATCTTGGCTGAGTTTATAAGAAATACATTTTGACAAAGTGTTATTAATGAAGTTTTTCAACATTTGTTTTTTTATTTATACATTTATTATTATTTATGTCAAGTGTTCCCGAAACAAGTTATTAAGCTACTTATGCTACACATATTTAGTTTTTTTAACTTTTAGTTGTAAAATCCATTTAAAAGAAATGTAATTCACTTTTTATGATTCTCATGGACAATTCTTTTATTATTAATTCAGGAAATTATAAAAATTATACAGCAGATGTGACTGCTGTACCTAAATGAAGATAAATTTAATAATTCGTTACTTTATCAGTAAATACGAATGACAGAAGATAGACAGATTACACAATTTTCGCTCGTATGTGAAATGAAAAGGAAAAGATAATAATAATAAAACGCAACCTAGTTTGCCACTTCTTTTATGTTTCAGTTCTTCATTTGTTTTGTGTTCTACTTTTGTATTATCGTTGTATTTTCATTTCACACATGATTAGACAACGCTGAAAAGGTCATATCATGTCGTGTTAGTTGTCACAAAGTAGTAGTATTGTAGTAAAAGAGAAATATGGTGCCAGAAGAAAATTAGGATAAAAGGTCATTGAAAATCATACATCTTAGTTAGTGAAAATAAATTAATCTACTGTCATGTAAGCAGACAACAGGCAAAATTACGTATGTAATTAGTGAAATATAAGTACTTACTTCAGTGAAAAAATATTGTTTTCTTTTAGTACAAAAGTACCTATGGTCATTTGAATGTTTGCATTGCAAATTTACACTCTGACTTTAAAAGTTTGGAGTCTGGCATATATTCTAATATTAAGTTTTAAACTAACAAACATGTTAGAATCCGGAATTCTGACATCATCATGCTCTGTTTGAAATTCGGAATTCTTAGTTTCTTAATCCGTGTTCTGAATTTGTTAAATACTGCATTTTCATGCCAAAGTCTATTGGTATATTAATTAAATCTTTTTTCTGTAAGTACTTGCCTACGATAGTGGCGAAGATCAAAACACCCGCCAGGAAGTCAGCGACGACGAAGAGATATTCCGCATCGTTTTCAGGCACTGGAGTTTCCCCGATGGTCGTTAAAGTGAGTGTTGACCAGTAAAAGCTGTAAATATACTGTCTAGCCAACGTGGAATTCTTCGGTCCATCCAAGTTGTAGACCCAATTGTCGATGCCGAATCCAATCGCGTAGCTTATGGCGAAATAGAGGCACGCGTTCCAATGTATAAGCACAAGAATTGCTAAAACTACTTTACAGATTCTAAAAACGTTTGGATAATTTGTATCGGTTTCTGTCCGCTCGAACCATTCCCATAGTCGCGGCAATTTAAACAGTCGATTCAGTCTCACAATTATAGGACACGGCACTTTAATGTTGCACTCGTAAGGGGGCCACCAGATATAGGCCACATCCGTTGGTATCAACGCCAAAAAGTCGCTCCTCCAAAGCTTTGTTTGGAAATAATGTGCGCGAAGTTTTCGGGAATTCGTTACCAAAAGTCCTTGTTCCAGATAACCTGGAAATGAAACGTTTTCGCATTAATTTTATTCCGTAATATCCTGGTTTTGGATACGCGTTTCATTCCTTACATCCTTTATACATTATTGAAGGCATTTCAAATGTATTAATGCAAAGTGCTGGCCTGAAAAAAAAATAATTTCACCAAAACGTTTACGAAGTGAAAAATGGTAATTAAAGGAAATTTTCGAGATGAGATAGACAGATCAGGTTTTTAAGACAGAAGACAATCAAGCATAACGTACAGCAAGTCACACGATTTAGTGTGCTTTAACATGATGTTATCACAAGATATTAAGAGTTTTATGAAGGGACTATTAGGTGTCAGGATATTTGTCTAGCTTTAGGATCCAAATAATAAAGCATTTCAAATTTAGTCGCTTTTTAAAGCAGAAACAAAAATAACAATCGATACATTGCTTCCAAATTATTCAAACTGAAAAGTTTCCTAAATGGAGCACAATAAGTTTAACTCATGTTACAATCTGTGTCGTCTGCAGGCATTACGAGCCCTTTCAATCAATAATAATTGGTTATAACCTCCGGCCACTCATTGTGGAGTGAATTTTATTAAAGAGACACATAATAAATGCGAGTCACTTTTAAAATTTAGAACTATTTTTGGTAAAGTGATCTTTAATATTTTCCGCCTGTTGAGCGTTTTTCAGGTACCGTGAAAACTGAAAATAAATCTGAACACCAATGTCCGTCGTTGTTATTTTGAGGTAAATTGTATCTGAGTTGTGCTTCTTTCTTTCATGTCTCAACTGCATGCACCTTGGATAAATATTTTTGTCGTATCATGTTGTTTTATTTAATAGAATACATAGTTATAAAAAACGAAAACTTTGTTGCGGGAAACAAGTGGCCTATTGACTTATGTTCACTAATTTTAACTTTTGATGATAGTATCGATTAATCTGCTTTACTCTTCGTCGATTTTTGTCGAAAACAAGATCAACCACTAGCGGATAGTGAAACAAAGCTTTGATCCTTTGTGTACGAGTAGGTATCTCTAAAGTTTGAAACTATTAACTATTTTATAATGGCCTGTAAAAGATGAATTTCCGATTTTTATGGTGAGCTATACTCGTAAAAATATGGCTATTTTATTAAATAACGTTCTCTAATTACACATTTTTTTTTAAATAATTGTAATATTTGAGTTTGATAAAAAAAGTAATACGCACTTACCTAAACTTAAAACAGGCAAAACGCATGTATGTACCTATTGCAATAAACACTGTTTTCTTAAATAAATTTCGAAAAAAATCTAATTAAAAAAATATCTTTTAATTATTGCGAATCAATCTCATTTGGTCAATGATGAAACATTTATAAAAGCAAAAAAAGATACTTATTAACCTAATGGAACGATTTTTTAAATAACTGTTGCGAAAAGAATTTTATTTTTCTGGAACTGTTGAAACAGGATAATTATTCATGCTACAAACAAAAAAAATTACTCTTTCTAAAATCTAAACTCCTGTATTTTTATGACTTAAATTTATTTAAATCGTACCTTCAATAGATTTATGTCTTTATTCTCCAAAAAATTTTGCTTTAATATTCAACTCAGGTCGAGCGAAATAAAATTGGGGCGTCTTGTAATTAATTGTTGATGTTTCTCATGTGAGCCACTTAATATGTAGTCTTGAGTATGCCAATTTAGAATTAAGATGTTACACTCCAATCGTGACTTAACGCGTTGCATATTGGTACATAATGGAGTTCAATAATTAAAGTTCCATGTAAGCCAATTTTCCTCCTTCCTGAATAGTAATTATTATTGGCAACAATCTTTCACCTCGCTTGTCACAAGCAGAAGGTGTATCCGTGTCCTATATAAGTTGTTTTTGATACGGGTTCGAAATTATTTCGAGACACTTGTCGATAGTTTATCAATTTAGGTCAGGGCTTTTCATTTTCTGGAAATTATCAAGAACTTTTGAAAGTTATAATATTTCAGAACTTGTCAAAATATGGTACAAAGTGTGGTCGTGCATGTTCATACTTTGTAATAACGTCCAAAGAGTAATATTAATATTTAGAAGGCAGGGGAAAATCAAGGGATAGAAAACAATACAATCGAGGCTGCGAATTTCGTTGGAACATTGCCAATTTATGGCTAAGACGCCGTCAAAATTGTTTCTTTTTGCGCGAGGTCAACGTCTCCTATATTTCGCAGATTAATATCCTTAACCCTCTTTGTAAATAAATGCCCATTTTCGTAGATTAAAACCGGTAAAAGAATGAAACTTCCAACAAAAGAAGAGAATTATGTTTGGTATTATTGTAATTCATTTTTAAACCTGCGTAATAGTATGTATTAGTGCCGGCGCAAATATTTGTGTGCCTTAGGGTGACAGAATTTATGAATCATAATTTTGCAAATTGTTTTTGAACGTAAAACCATCAATAACTTTAGCAAACAACACGAGTAAATAGCACACTCCTTCAAGTCGCCATTGGTAAATTGCGTTGTAATTATTATTGCTATGAAAGGAAAGTATTTTGTATGAACTAGGGTCATATTTCTTGAAAGAAAATTGATGGTAGTTTTGTTGAATCGTATTTAAAGACCTGTCCGTCCGACCTTTGTTTGTCGAAGCCTCATTGCATTTGGTAATGAGTGTCGTGTTCGAAGATATACTGCTTTTTAAGATATGGTCGTCTGTATAACAAACATTTTAATTACGACTGTATTTAGTAATCCCTAGTGTCAATTTGGTTGTGGCTTTGCATGTAGACTAGAATTGCGTGATGAGGTTCTGTGGACGTCAACCGAGGCTAATCATTTTAATATTGAGAATACGAGCTTCATTAATTACAAGTAATTAACGAACAAAAAATCAATATTTTCATAATTAATACGACTATTAGATCAGCGGCGCATCGAGGGGGGAAGGAGGGTTAAACTCCAACACCAGCTGTAAAATTATTTTGTAGTGAGAAGTTATAGTTGAATTAATATTTTGGATATTTTTGACTTTATCAGCAATTTCCTCCATAACTATTTAATCTAGTTATTAATTATCTTTTTTATATGATAAAAAATTAAATTTGCTTTCCAGGTACCAAAAATTGCCTCAAAATTGAACCACTTGCACTCTTGGGGGTTTAAGAGACTTTGAAAAGTTCAAAAGCGTTGTAAAATTGCAAATAATAAATTTTTGAAACATTTTGAGAGAGAGAGAGAGTATAAGAGCAATAAGAACGTAAAGCATAATAAGAAAGAGACAGAGCATAAGAACAAATAAGTGAACAAAGCATAAGTAAGGGAAAGCGCATAATAATAAAAGATGGAGGGCATATAAGAGTGCGAAAAAACAAACATCTGTATAGAAAAGTGTTAATAGTGTATAAATAAGTAAACAAAATAATAAAAATAAAGGAATATTTATTTTATTAATTATTATTACTAATAATTCCAATAAAAGTAAAAAATAAGAGCACCAGAGCTTTAAAACAGGTACATAAGTGTACTAGTGAAGTAGATAGATATAAGTAAACAAAATAAGGTAAGTAAAATAAAATATAAAGTAAAAGTAGCATGAAATGTATAATAAAAATTATAGAAGTAAATAAAAACGTATCATTATTTTGAAAATGTCGTCTAAAGTTTTTTTGAAATCACCATTAATGAGTGCCCGAAATTTTTGCATAGGTAAACCCTCCCTAAACTCTATCTCTGGCTGCGCCACTATACAGGCTGTTCCGTTTTTATTGTTACAAATTTAAACAGGTGATAGGATATTCAATTCTAAGACCAAAGTTTCCTATAAACATGTATCGAAAAATGCTTGGTGAGGGAGCTACACCCCCTGGAAGGGGGCTAATATGTTTTTGCTAATATTTCAGAAACCATTTAAGATAAAATTACAAAATTTGGTACAGATGATAACCTTTAAACACCTAAACGAATTCAAACATCAAATGTCAAAATTTTTAATCAGGGGCGTATGAAACTGGGGGACATTAAGGTAAAAAAATACCTTATTTATTTTGGCTTTAGTTTCTCGGTACTTTCAGCAACAAAATCTTAAGTTCGATAGTTTTTCACAGAAAAGTTTCTCTTGTGTCGATACGACTTATTGTTTTTGAATAAAATTAATTTAAAATTTATGTTACACACCCATACAACATTCAAATAAATCAGAATTTACAGAATAATAAAAGCAAGAAATTCATATTTTTTAATCAACCTCAACTAATTAACATTACATTACAGTAACAATAATAACATTAATTAAATGAATTTGCCTAAATCTAAAGGAGTTGTTCAAAGTGACCACCATTTTGATCAATGCATAACTAAAGAAACTAAAGCCAAAATAGATAGGGTATTTTTTACCCTAAACCTCACCAGTTTCAAGATTTGATGTTTGAATTAGTTTAGGTGTATAAAGGTTATCATCTGTAGCAAATTTTGTAATTTTATCTTAAATGGTTTCTGAAATATTAACAAAAACTTATTAGCCCCTTTTCAGAGGGTGTAGCTCTCTTACCAAGCATTTTTCGATATATGTTTATAGGAAACTTTTGTCTTAGAATTGAATATCCTATCACCTGTTTAAATTTGTAACAATAAAAACGGAACACCCTGTATTAGTAGTAGTGGGTATACAGGGTGAGTCATAATTAGATTAAATTTTTTTTACCAAAACGGCCATGTAATAAATCTACTCTGGGTTGCTTTTGTGTAACAGATGTATCAGTTATAATAGACACGATACTCGTATAATGAAATGTAACTATTAGTTCGGAAAAAGCACAGCAGTTTGCAGTTTTAACATTTCCTTCATCACAAACAAGACTATCGTTTTTGATAAAATCGACTTTGGTTTAAAACTGTAACGTATCTACATTCAAAACGCATTTCTATGCTGTTTGATATATTTCAATTATCTCGAGTTTGTTTTTTTGGAAAAAATATTGCTTCGGGCAAGCTAGTGGGCGGACGTGCTAATTTGGTGAGTATTTTTCAGACAGAATTTCTCAATTAGCAGGCACTAAACTCATTTGCTTTAATCACCAAGGTTTGTGTCACATTTTTATACATCCAAGTTTAATAAAAAAAATATATTCAAATGCATGGGTAATTAAGTAGCTTTATGTTTCAGGATCAAGTTAAATTATAATGGTTGCAGGATCTTAAATTAAGTGTCTTGTTTTATGTTGTTTTTGATCGTTCTCTTGAATTTAGCGTTTGCTATGTGATCCAGAAATCAAATTCGAGAGGTGCGAATATTTGTAACAGGATCGTAAAAGCTCGACAATACTTCAAACATTGTCGAGAAAAAATTCTTATTTCTTCACTTCTTGGAACAATACAGCCGAAATTCGAACTGACATGTAATGTCATGTAAGCACTACTTTTAAATGTATGTTTTAAGACTTTGTTTTATGTAGTAAACCCGTAGTTAAATGTCACTATAATAAATTTAGAAATGACTAGTGAAAGATATAAAACGTTTGTCTGTCTACATTTTAGCTTTTTTAGTATTTAAAATAGGTGACACGGAACGTTTACCATCAAATTTTACGGATCAACAATCAGATATACTCGTACTAATGAGCAAATAATGAACAAGTGAGTATATTTCTAGCATCAGCGCAAACAAACTTCTAGTTTTTTTTTTATTTTAAATGTGAATCAGAACGAAAGATATATTTTGCAGTCGGATGAAAACCTTCACCTACTTTTAATGTTTATTTGAAGACTGACTTAAAATTCGGTGGCACTGGTTTAAAAATCAAAGAAAACTCTTTCATTCGCAAATATATCAACTTCACAGTAATAGAAATCTGAGATGTAAAGACAAAAACACGCATCTTTGTTATCTGTACACTTCCAGACTTAGTTGCCGTTTTAAATTTATCGCTCGATAATATATGACCTTACAACTGAAATTTGCATCTCATATTTTATGTTAATTTACTGGAGAAGTTTTCTTGATAAGAGTGTCGAGAGGTTTTTAAATTTTGTACTTACATATAGATTTGTTCATTCTTTAATTCCCTATAGTGTCAAAAAAGGAAACCAAAGGGCTTCCGAGCAGATAAAGCCGTAATTAAACTTCACTTTTATGGTGAAGTTTAACATTTTTATCTACGTAGGTAAGTATTTGATGCGAGATTAATCTCTATCGTAAATCTAACGTCTGTAAAGTTTTATGAGGTGTAAAAGTGTAATTACTGATCTATTTTGGTTGCGGTACTGTTTCTCCCTATAAAACTCCCAAAAATATAGATTTTGATGTCCGTAAAAGATACATAGTCCCTAACAGTTATTTTAATGACAATTTAATTAATCCACGGATGGACAGCAATAATTGCTCGTTAACCACAGTTAACGTTATTTCTTGTTACAAAAAAAATCATAATTTAATTTTTCTAAAATTCTATATAAGTATACTCAAGGCTATACTCTTGAGATTTCATAAAATTTTTAATATTTTTTACTTTCTAAATATACATTTATGAGGATTTCTAAATAGATATTTTTTGGAAATTTTAAAAACACTTTAATGACATTTTCAAATAAATCTAAATCAAAGAGGTAATTTTACTCACACTTGTTTGAGGTCTTTAAATTATTATTTATTGCCAAAATAAATCAGGACTTGGTTTAATACGGTGATTACTTATTATTATGCATGTCTAATAGTCATCATGGCAAACGTGATCAAACACAGACTGGCCATTAGTAGATCAAGTGATTACGTATAATAGAATTTGAGGTTTTGATTTTCTTTGTGTGATGCAAAGAGTAACAGATTTGTCAAATCATCAAAAGCAAAATTTTTAAAACGATATAATTGGAACAATAAATAAAAAGGGTTTTAAACATCGTGTTTTAGGCGTAAAAACGATGGAAACAAAACAAAGAAAACATGGTTAAAACATCTTTTCTCTGTAATTTAACTTTGAATTAAAAGTTGAACCAACGGTGTAGGTGGTGCTTGACATATTTGTGATTAATGCTAATAGACCTTGATAGCAAAGCGACAAATTGCATTTGAAATCTGTATCAATTTGATCCACATTTATAAACTTTCTGTATATGCTATAAACCAAAATAAAACTAATACAATTAATACGGAGATTGGAATCAATGATTGTAAATTAACAAATTAACACTGAATATGTGGAAATCTTAAAGAACAATTTGCTGAACATTTTGCTTTTACGCAATATTTTTGTTGTATGTATATTTTTTCTCTAGTTTTGAATTTTGTATATTGCACATTATTATTATGAATAAGACTACAAATGTCAAAATTGAACATCAAGTTAACCAATCAAATTTAACAGTTGTTTTTGCATACAGAATGTCCTATTTAGATGCAAAAACTGGTTTCCAGTAAAAAGAAAGACACCACAATAAGTGAAGCTTGAAATTAAGGCAATTAGAGAATAATGTTCTTAAAAAATCAACTCATTACCTCATAGCTTTTCTTACAATAAATTAAACAAATTAAAAGCATGAGCATTAAAATCACCTCAATTATGCAGGAGGCTAATAATAATATAAAGTTACATAAAACAAAAAATCTTTCTTTTATCCTTCCTAATTTTTTTGTTTTATACGAACGATATTAGGAAGATCTATAAAACACTAGTAAATTGAATTGTACTTTATGGGATTATTTAGATTACGTTTATTAATTTTTTCGTTGCTTTACTGAAAAATAGAAAATCCATTTCTTTCAAAATAAATAAACGATATTGCCAAATTATTTCACAGAATTTCAATAATTTGAAAATTTTGAGCTCTCAATTACAAGATTAAAAAGCAGTAAAAAGCTACTAATAATGTAAGGCTTAGATGTCCAGCTACTAGCAAAAGAGTTTTTTTTAAGTGTTACGTGTCTTCATTTAACAAAATATAATATTAAGAAAATATATAATACCTTCGTGAGCATGAACAAATATATCTGCAATGTAGATCGTATCACAGAAATAATCCAACGTCCACCAAAGCCATGGCACTGAGTTATTAAGTTCCCAAAACACAGCTCTTCCCAGGACAAAAATAACGTTGTACAGCACAGCCAGAGAGACAACCATCAGCCACTGTAACGAAAAACGCTTATTTAGATCAAAATTTCCTGAAGCCATTGCTGAAACTAAACCATATTTGGGGTCACCACAAGTGCCGGCATAATTTTCAGATCAATTTTGTTGCAACCGTTAATTATTAAAATTAAAAATGTGAGTACACCACTAGCCCACATGTTAAAAAATTCTGACCCTTATAAAATCGAAAATATGCAAATTTTACAAATTACCCTTATGGTGCAAACGTGATTGCGTTTTATTTTGTAAAAACACATGTAAACAAAGTGCGTTGACACAACTTTATTCGGAGTTGTAAAGAAAATAAAGAGAGGATATGCATACAAATTTTTGCATAGGAAATTACGACACGTATTTTGAACATAAAAATTGCACATTTTTCTCTTTGCGTTTCCATGAATGATCTTTGGTGGATTTAATAAACATTAGGGAAAATTAATCGAATTAAGGAGAAACTTCTAACTATAAAGTTGGATCAGTAAGTTTATGTGTGTGCTGGAAATTATTTAATTAAACAGATACTTAAATGGCAGCAGAAAGCAAATCCAAATGATTTTAAACAAAGTATATGCAGAGATACGGAGGTTTGTCCAGTGTGGCGAAATTTAGAAGTATTAGGATGGAAAGTTAACCTAAACTAGATATTATTTAAATTTTTGCCATCAGAAATGACACTTAAGATACTGTCATGAGGGAGGTTTAGTTCCGTAATTTTATTGTGGTAAATTGGGTTGGCTGTTAAATTAGAATGTCCTGCCCGAAGGCAAAAGCCATATATGAACTTTCCTATTTATACGTTATGAAATAGTTTACGAAAAATGAGGAAGGAAGGTGGATTAAATAAGCTGACGTGTCGTGTAATAAGAAATTTTTCAGGATTTATCTTAGCCTACAAGTATTTGTATTTAAAAATTTTATCCACATAGGTAATTTTCGGGTACGGAAATCATTAGGAGATTAATGTAAATACCAATGTAATTCACTAATTATGCACGGAATTACATTATTTTAAACAATTGCAAATGTTCTTGTTAAATTACATCACATATAAGCTTACTGTCAAGTACTCGTAATATTACTTTTTCATTAATAAAAGAGTTTGCAAACTCATTCTTTCCAATTATTTTTTTATACATGCAATACAAGAATGTTAGCTGTCTTCCTGTGTTTTTTTTTTCATAGTGCTTTCGTGAGTATCTAATGATTTTTTATAGTGTTTTAAGAATTTCACGAGCGTGTGAGCGAGTCGTTTTTACTAATCTGACACTCGGTTCTTTAGAATTTTTTAACAGCCTATTTTATTTATAAACTCTGCACAACATGATTTGCAAACATACAGGGTGTCTCAGCGACTTGAAAAAGTCCACTAGTGACCTTAAAATGGTAGAATTAAAAAAAATGTATAGGACATTGATAGATACTAATTTAGTGCATCACCTAAAATTATTTTTAACCATACAGCATGTCCCAAAAATAAGATACGATACAAACTTGTGTTTTTTTTTTAAATAAAACATTTGCATTTTTGGATGTAGCCTTTTAAACTTTTATTAGTCGATTTCGGTTAGTTTTAGAAATAAGACGTTTTTTTTTTGACGAAAACATGCATTTTAAAAAAATTTATTACATAAAAACTAAGACAGCTAGAACACATTTTTTCTTACTTTTGCAAAGAAGAAAATACAGAATTTAAAGCTGTAGCAATTTTTTAGTGTTTTGCATTTGTAAAGATTAATAAAAAAGTTTGTTAAAAGTTAAATAACTTAAAAAATTTAAATGGAACACCCTATTTTTTATTTTTGCATCTAATAGATTGATAAATTGTCTATCTAAAAAAATAAACTTTTAATGACTAGAATTGATAAATAAAAAGATATTTAACATTCATTATTAATTGTAGCAACAATACCTATCAATATCTGAGCATTGTTGATACATAATTACCATAGTAATTCCACCACGGATTACTTATCCGTTGATTTATCCAAAGATTGTAAAAGTTGTTATAAATACTGAAATTCAAATTATTTTATTTAAAAATAAAGAATAATACAGTGTTATTTCTTCTATCTGTTGTGCAATTGTGCACTTTTTGATTACTGAAACAATAGTAATAATTTTTTTTTTAATGTTCAACATTAAATATCTTTTTAGTTATTGATTATAAACACCTAAAAATAAATAATTTTAGAAAGACAATTTAATAGTCTTTTAAATGCAAAAACAATAAATAGGGTGTTCCATTTAATTTTTTTAAGTTATTGAACTTTTAACAAACGCCTTCATTTTTTTATTTTTGCAAATGCAATACACTAAAAAAATGTTACAACCTTATACCTGGTACCTTCTTCTTTGCGGTAGTAAAAAATATTTCTAGATGTTTTAGTTTTGGTGTAATAAATTTCTACAAAGTACATGTTTTCGTCAAAAAAACTAAACAAAATTAACCAATAAAAGTTTAGCTTAAAAACATTGTCATAAAAATCCACATCTAAAAACGACATATGGTGTTTCATTTAAAAAAACACAAGTTTGTAATGTAACTTTTTTTTGAGACGTGCTGTATAGTTGAAAATAATTTTAGGCGATGGACTGGATTAGTATCTATCAATGTCCTATATAATTTTCTTTGAATTTTAAATGTTACTAATGGACTTTTTCAACTCGCTGTATGTAAAATACTTACTAAAATAGACGACTCCCATCTACATGAATAAAACAGACAGAAGTCTTTCTAGCTTCAGATCAACATGTATTTTTTTAGTTAATTTTAAATAAAGACAACAATGGACTTCTATTACACACGTAATTGTGCAGTTCATTTGTAAAATATCGTCAATTTTTCTTTTGACCAGTTTTGTTTACTTTGGTTGAATTTTCTAGCAATTTATTTTAATGATATTTCATTGATCGATGAGGTTAATAAAGTAACGTTACTTTCTTTCTATAATCACTGATTTCGAACAAAATTTACACAAAATTTTTAGCACTTTGTGGTTCTTGCTAAATTATTACATAACTAAAAACTGTTACAAATATCAATGAACATGAATTTCTATTTGCGTTAGTTTTAAGAGACTCAATAATAATTGTTAATTTTTGTTTGTAATTTTGTCATTTTTGTTTTTGAAAAAGTAGTTAGAGCAATCAGCAGTTCCCAACATCTCACTTTGCACTGCTTAATTGGAATAGCGTCATTAATAGTCATTATACGCAATCGTGTTCACATTTTGTCTTTCAAGTGGTATTTGTTTTAGACAAGTGTTATGTTAAAAGTTTGAAATTGGATTCCATTTTAATTGCATACGTTCATAGTGTCTTTGTGATTAAAACGAAGGAACGGAAGTTTTCGAAGGATTCAGTAAAATCGAGCCAAAACTATTCAAAGTCCTATTATGCCCTGCACAAAAGGTTAACGATGTAGGACCAAAATGACTAAAAACTAGGTAGACCTTATAGTAGGACGGAAGCGCTGGATCAACAACAATCCGGTGACCCCAACAAGTGGGTTCTGAAGTATCCATTGCATCAGCATTTTCATCCTGGTGACTTTTGTCCACGAACCAATCGGGGGGGTGTGAGTCCCTTCGGGGAAACCGTCGGAAACGAATTGCTGCCTGGAGGGATGCTGCCACTTGTCTTAACCGTCCTCGCATTGCCGAAAACAGTCTGTTTTGCGGGACATTTTCCTGAAAAAAATTTACAATAAATGTAAACAAAATTTTATAACATAATGAGCACAAGTTCAATTCAATTTTAAGAAATATAATTTTTAAATGAGTTACAGATTCATTTTTCTTTCTTCACCCTCACACTTTAATTGTTACGAACTTTAAGCCTTTATTTTGCTTGAATGATGTTACGGTATTAACCCATAATTTAGATTTTGAAAGCAAAAACAATTTTACCAATTAAAAATTAAAAAAAAAATACAAATATCAATGAATATAAATTTCTATCTGCGTTAGTTTTAACAGACTCGATAATAATTGTTCATTTTTGTTTGTAATTTTGTCATTTTTGTTGTTGAAAAAGTAGATAGAGCAATCAGCAGTTCCCAACATCTCACTTTGCACTGCTTTATTGGAATAGCGTCATTAATAGTCATTATACTCATTCGTGTTCACATCATGTCTTTCAGTGGTATTTGTTTTAGACAAGTGTTATGTTAAAAGTGTGAAATTGGATTCTATTTTAATTGTATACATTTATAGTGTCTTTGTGATTAAATCGAAGGAACGGAAGTTTTCGAAGGATTCAGTAAAATCGAGCCAAAACTATTCAAAGTCCTATTATGCCCTGCACAAAAGGTTAACGACGTAGGACCAAAATGACTAAAAACTAGACTAAATACATGTAAACAAAATTTTATAACATAATGAGCTCAAGTTCAATTCAATTTTAAGAAATTTAATTTTTAAATGACTGAGTTACAGATTCATTTTCATTTCCTCACCCTCACACTTTAATTGTTACGAACTTTAAGCCTTTATTTTGCTTGAATGATGTTGCGGTATTAACGCATAATTTAGATTTTGCAAGCAAAAACAATTTTACCAATAAAAAAAATGCGTCTTCTCTTGTAACTGATTGATATTTTAATTGCATATGAATTTAAGTATCCATACTTTTACTAAGTTTTTTTAGTGAGCGTCATAATGATTTATGTCTTAGCTAAAAGTAATCAGTTATATCATAAGAATAAATAAAGCTTGTCATAGCTATTGATTACAAATGAGTCTACGAACGTCAATCTCTTATTTGAATCATGAAACTTTTGTATTGAAATGTGTCATTTAAGAAGATTTATTGCCGCTATTGCTACTAGGAAAATGGTTTCGAAATTGTCAATGACAAAATGTAGACAGTTGCAATTAATAGATATGTCTGCTATTATATAATAGTTAAAATAATTAAAAATACCCCGAATTATTCAATTGTAATAAAACAACTCTTTCCAATGTTCCTTTCATTAAGACGTTAATAATGTTGTATTGCCAAAAGTTATTATTGATTGTAGCGAAGTTTCCACTGTTTTAATTCTGAACAATTTTGCTATGTCAGATTTTAATTTATCTTTAATTTATTTTGTGTGCAGATTATTTTTTGTATCTCAAAATAGACTTAAAATAAGTGAAGAAAAGGTTTATTGTCTTATAATTTGATACCATAGTATTTATTATACTTGGTCCATGTTTGACACATATTTTATGTAATCAGTCCTTCCATCAAATAACTTTGTAGGAAACCTTGAATCTTAGTTTAGAATCGATTTGTCTCGATAAACCACTTGATAACTTGTAATGAGATCAGTTCTCACACTTTTGATCTTTGGGGGCAACAGATGCGACATTTGAGACACTTTAATATGAAACCAAATCATGCACGATAAATATAGGAGCTTATTTGCCAATTTCAGGCTGAATAGATTTGGAACTACCTGAATTAAGAGTAAGAGATACGTGAAAATTGATTGTTATTTGCATATTGACGCTTTTGGGATGTGAATAAAATTCTTCCCTACATGAATATTCTTTCGTCTCTGTAACTGTTGCGGAATGACGCAGTTTCGTTAAAATATAAATTTTAATATTTCATGTGGAAGTGACAGTTAATGTCTGCAATCTTGTTAACGGTATTAAACGCTCAGAATTTTCCAAAACCTTTTGATTCCATTAGTATTCCAACAACGACATTTATGTATTTAATGTTACGATAAAAATAGCTGGATGCATTGCAATATTAAACAATCTTCACGCCATATAATCTGACTCGGAAAATGAGGAAAATTTACTTTCATTTCAATCTCAAAAGTTTCTCGTTTATTATTATTTTACACGAGTTTTCATATCAATAAGAAAAAAAAATTCTACTTCCGAAGGGTTTGATGGTAATAAAATTTCCGAAATAAATGATGTTGTCGTGTTAAATTCTTGTCTTAGATACAAGGCCGTTTGGGGAAAATTCAACAAAAACTTAAATTGGTCAAAGTTAGCGATTCTGAACTTTTCTCCAGTGACATACGTTTTTGTAAATAGGAATATTAGGTTTTACGAGGGCTACTGACCTCGTTACACCCTTGATAGGGAGTTGCATTTTTTTTATAACGCTTTTGGACGGACTTTTATTACTTACTGTATAAGTGACTTTTATTTTTAATTTTATAGCACAAATCTTGATTTAATCCCGGGCTGCCAGCTAGTATTTTTAGTGGGGATAATTTATTCTTATTAATTCATCAAGCTTTACTCTTAATTAAGTTTCTACATTTGACTCGTGGTGATAATTGCATTGGTTTATAAATAACTTATCATTTTAGATACACTTATCCTTGGAGTCGAAAATAAGTATTATTACGTGTCATATTAGCCGTGTCTACTTTTCCTTACAATTGAATGGATTAATTATTTCTTTCAGCTATTTTAATTTTTTTTTGTTTTAAAGAACTGGAAAGGTTTCTTAAATTAATTAAAAATGATTTACTTTTTTTACAAATTAAAAATTAATATAACTCAAGAGTCGAATGGAGTATAATTATGAGTAGTTTTTCACAACGCAAACTTTTAGAATGACCCAGATTATAAAATGCTGTAAACTTGACACCATCCTTGAACGAAACTTTATTTGCTGTTAAATCAGATTTAAAATGCTCTGCTTATTTGAAATTTGAATTGCTGTATTCAACATATCAGATGCAGAAATTGATATTACACAAAAGTAAGGTAATTGAAATATGGCTAAAGGTATTTTGTCGTAAAAATGAAGATTGAAATCAATTTGAAGACTGACATTTGTACCTTTAACCTTTACCTTTTTAGTAAAAAACACGTAATTTTTAATTAAAATTACAATGATTGAATTGTTGAAGGATTTGCTAAGATTTAAACTCTATTTTACCATACAAAACCTAGACGAAAACATAAATTACTGTCAGAATTTCCAACTCTAAATTCGATTTTAAACCATGGATGTCAATCGAAAGAAGCAAGGGATTCAACCTAAACGTTTTACAAATTGGAAATCACATTGTATTCAAATATTTCTGAAATAAATTTCTAAATTTATTTGTTGGTGGGAATAAATTATCATTTTATAGCGACGTAGTTATTGTTTTAAGAAATTAATTATACGTGTGGAGTAAATTATTCTAATTCGAAACATCAGCTTAAAAATTAGCAAAACCCAATTTCCGCCTAAAACCGTTGTTCACATTTAAGTTTAAATGAATGAATAAACTTATTCCCTACGTGGTAGACTTCTTTCTAAATCCGACAAAATAGACGCTATTCCCTGACATAACATTTTAGGTATGGGATACCTATTTTCAGCACTTGACTAAGCAGATTGAGTCAATAAATCGGCAAAAATTGTAACACGAATAAATTTTTCGAGAAACAGTTTTAGCTTCAAAATCATGTAAAGCCATGTGCGTACGTAAATTAAGTGAGATGGTAACAACCTTTTTCAATTTAAAGTAAGTGAAGTGAATTGATTTAAAAGAACTTTTAAGAAAACTTTGGTATAAATTATCTAAGTTTTTGAGGAAATGTTTTTCCAAGGAAAATTTACAGCATTGGGGTTACTCCACTTTCATTTTTACTTACCCTCACATTTTCAGTAATGTTTAGTTTAACTGTCACCATTTCATTTTACTTTTCTTAAAAGTGGATATTTGTCGCGTACTTTTAACACTTGCGCTAACAAACTGTCATCAAGAGAGACATTGTGGTAGCAGCAAAGCTTCGCAAACGGAGACTGACAAATTTGTATCACATGCGGGCTAATATATTTCTAATTGCAAACACGTTTTGTTTATGCGACTTTTTAATAGTCTCACGTAGCAGAATTCAATTAATTACATTTTGGTTTCCATTTCAATACTAGACTCCAATATAGTTTCAAAGTGTTGGATATGTCGAATGTAAGCACTAGGAATATTAATGCAGGCGAGAAGCCACCTATTTGATATTTCATAACCACAACTTGTTGGTGAATTAACACAACAACCACCACAATTTTATGGACAATTTCCTTTTAACAATATAATAACATGAGCACTACATTCCAACAAATCGTTTGCTAAGAAAACATTTCTAGAATTTTCCTTAAAGTGTATTGTGTCGGAAGTCTGCAGTTCAAGCCCTAACATACGTCAATATACACACTAGACAGTGATACAGATCGGAATGAAGCTTTATTTGACAGAAAGACAGTGGTATCAATTGGGAAAACTAAACTTAATTAAGCAAAGTGCTTGGATTATCAATAATAATGACAGGTGTAGGACGTTAGCATTAAATTAGATTATATTTTGTCTTAACCACTTAACATTACATTCAGTTATGAAATAAAGAACATAATTTGACTTTTGTTACTGTTGTACTGTAGTGAAATGTTTGATTGGTAAAATTTAGACATTTGATAAAATATTTAATTAAACCCGTTGAAAATCAGTTTGAATCCCATTTTAATATTTGAAATCTTGTATACAAACAAGCTGATTAAAATGATACATTAATTGTATCTATAAAGCTTTACCATAGCGTGTGTATTAATTGCCGATTATTTTATTTTTTGACATTCCAAATATATCTATTTAATTAATTATAGTATATTAAGTATCAAGAACGGTAAGAACATTTTACCGATCGAAGACTATTATTATTTGGAGGAGGAGCGAAGCGACGACTCTAATTATTGTTTGAGATCGGCAAGTTCTTGATGCTTATGATATTTTTTGCGCGATTGATTTTTGTTAGCTTTTTTAAAAATAAAATATCTAAAAAATGTTCTACAACGCTAAAGTATTTTGGCGTTCTAGAATATTTTTGAATGCTTACCGTAATATCTTGATGGTAGGTTTGGATTGAAATAGAAAATTAAAATCGATATAAGAGAATAATAAAAACAAGAGGAAACATCATGAAAAAACAATTAGTTTTAGAATAACTGTTGCTTATTTAGCTTAATTAGATCTCATTTCAAAGAATTGCTTTTATTTTATTTTACTCAAAACTTTAATTACTATAAACGCCTTAATTACTCTATTATTTTAAATCCGTATCTTGAAAAACAAAGTATATGACGGAAGGAAAATCGAAACACAAAGTATTGTGTTGATTAAACGTTAGCACAATTTACTGCCACGTATACAATATGTGGGAGAATTTGGACACATTAGTTTCAAACATGCAGATTTTATGAATTATATGAATCAAACACAAATCTAAAAGACTGCAACACGGTTCTATTAACCTTATTTAAAATTTAAAAAATCAACTAGGAAGGGTGCAGACTCAGTAATAAATATGTTAATATCTTCAAAGATATTTTCATTTCATGTGACTATTTCATTTGATAAAAGGCGTAGAAATATTTCTTCAATTTATTTTAAGAAATGCTTCTTGAGCTTAAGTAATTTACGTGAATAACTGCAATAATTCTCTCCGCTAGAATAGTAATGATTGATGAGTCCAGTCTCTTGTTGATTCACCACAGGATTCAGCAAAGGCAAATATTGTTGCATCAAATTAGTGCCAAATGGAATAATCGTAAATTCTAGTAGGTCTGGTGTAAGATAATTAAAATAATTTATTGTTTTTGATACATCTATAAGCAACTGATGTGTAAAAACTTTATTTTGTTTTTGACCAAGGAACGTCGATAAATAAACGAATTTCCTTTATAACACAAATCGAATTAAACATTTTGTTTCTATTTTCGTCCTCATTGTAGTTCCTATTCACTGGACGTTATCGACAGAAGTTGTCGTTGCAAATCCTTGTTGAAATATTTGAGGTATCGCAGTTATGTAATAAAATGTCGATTGCATACAAGTTCGTTCTTGCATGAAATTTGTTGGTCAAGTTTTTAAAACATTTGTGGTTTCAGTTGAATCAAGAGCAAGGTATATTACAACAAATGAAAACAAGATCATCATTTTATGCTTTCAAACACTTTTTACTTTTCTCATAAGACGGTTTATCACACTTTTGGTATAGTTACATTCAGAAAATAAAATGCCACAGTCAAGTCTTGAAGTGGGTTTTATTTTGCGGTAATAACAACTTTTTAATGTTATTTACACGCAAATACATCAGAATCCGAATAAATAAACAAAATGAAACCAGGTAAAAAACATCTCTTATTTTATAATTAATAATTGTAATATTAACACTAGAAGTAACAAACGCTCATTTAATTGATTGTTTATGATTCATCATTGTGTGATGTTTACTGACAATATTATTCTCGTCAGAGATTCTTTTTTAATTAATAGTAAAATTTTAGAAAGAAAACTCGTAATGCGTAAATTGCGCATGGTGCTTTCTTTGTCTTACCAACATCTACAACAGTCGAACAAAAAAATTCCATAATAAAAGTAATTTAAATCGTTTGGTTTATGAGATGTAATAATCTAATCAAAACAACCATAATTCATTTATTCATTTCTGTGTTTTAATTAAGAAAACTGACTTTTGAGTCTAGAGTTGTGTAGATATCGATTTTATCTTGACTTGAGTCGTTGGCTTGTGATACATACAGGTATTTATAATTATCGATTTCTGGACCATTCATTTTAATTAGTCTGACAGCCGAACGACTCCAAATTATATTTTGGGGTTATGATGCTATTAGATTCTTTTGAACTGTTACTTACTCTTTCGGTAATTTATGAAAACATCTTTGAAAACGAGAAAAATGTGGAAAAAAGTTTTAAGAGTTGAGAATCAAAAAGTATTTATTTTCGTAAATTGATGGGATATTGCAACGTTATAATACATACATGACACAATATAATGAAGAAAAAAAATCGTATATCACAACCGTGTTGAGAAAAAGAAGCCCAGCTTTGAGGTTAGATGGAGCCTCAGGGTGTAATATGATTTCCCATCAAGGTTTGTTTGCTATTTTATTCAGTTGATGTCTTATAACGTTGGCAGTACACATAAGTCACTTCCTAACTAAGGTAGAAAATACCTTCGTATTTTCCAACCTCTAAAGATTAGGAAACAGCATATTATTATACAGGGCGATTCAGATAAGATAATTTGCCTGACGATCTGGCGATGCAATCCAAAAAACAAATTTCATTTACGCCTTTGATCCAATGTAAATTAGAATTTGCAAGTTGAATCCCAGTTATCATCTCATGTCAGTTCGACATCAGTGCAGAGAAAGATCATTAATGCCATTCAGTTCTCGCGGAATGATAGAGGAATTAGAGAAGTCTTTTCGGTGTAAACCCAATACAAAATGTATGAAACAATAAAACATTAAAGGTAGACAAACAGTTTTTTTATAAATCATAAATTGCTTGTCAAAGCACTGTCAGAGCAACATAAGATAGATATAGCTTGTTCCAAATCTGGTGGCGAACTGACGTTGTCAAAAATGACTGAATTTTGACACTAAACATATGTTTACTATTAAAATAAATATTGTTCATAGGCGTCGTATGAAATAATATTTCAAAACCACTGTTATTTTTTAAAAAATTATAATAAGTAGGTTCTCATACATAAGATGAAGAATAATGAACAAATTATTAAATTGWTAACGCATGAAAAGAATTTTCAAAAATGATATTYCTAACAATCTTTGTCTYCAAAATTTTTAAAGAAAAAAAGTACGCCTATGTATTTTTTTATCTTAAGCAAGTGGGCGCACTCCAATTGTCTTTTCTGTCACTGTCAGTTCGCCACCAGATATGGAATAAGCTCTAACATGGATTGCAAATGCAAATCGTAATTAAAATTAGATCAAGACGTAAATGAAATTAGTTGCATCGCCAGATCGTCAGGTTCATTATCTTATCTGAATCACCCTGTAGTGATAAAAAAATCATTTCAAGCTGAAAAATGTTTATTTTTTATAACTGGTAGTGAACCACGGATAAAGGGATTAAGAATGTCAGTAAGTACTAACAACATTACATTAAATTGTAAGTGGAAATTTTTAAGCAATTTTTTAAAAACACTAGTTCTCCAAAAACTTATTACGAGTAAATGGTTATTAAACATCATCTTCGCTGTTTTTCGACATATTCGCATTAATTTTTCTTTGATCGTTACTTCCTACAGGTTTTCTTATCAAGACATACTTAAATGAAATTTTCACTTTTTATTGCTTTAATCTTATTTTGGGTGTCAAAGTTTCCAGAATCAATACACAATTTTATTTAAAATTAAATGACGCAAAAAATAGTTGTTATAAAGTTTTTAAAAGAATTTTAATCTAAAAGCAGTTTTAATTTATTTTTCTCAATAGTTGTGCAAAAGACAGCTAATCGAATCAACGCCCAAACAATAAATTAATATAAACAATGGTTTGTTTGTGTTGCTGTTTTGGTGGAGGCGCCGGGTCAGCACATACGTTTTAAAAAGTTTGATATTTTTTGTGTGGAGTCTTGTTGGACAACTAAGATAAATACCTGCAACGGTTGCGTAAAGGGAGATTCCGTGGGACTCTGGCATCTTTCCGAATAGGGCGTTTGCACCCGGACTTCCGCCAAGACGTCTCTGGAGCCATCGCGAGAGATAGTCGAGTTGAGTTCATCTCTCGAAAATCCCCGACTTATGGCGTCCTTTTGAAAAGTGGCCGAATTGTATCCGGAATTGAGCGGATATCTGGCACAGTTCAGTCCGTCCCTGCAAGGTCCAGGGCCGCAATTAGCTGACTGTACTGTGAAAACCGAGCCAGGTCGCCGACGTGGGTCACCTCTGGCGGCGGCCATCACATAGCTCCACATTGCAGGGCATCGCACGTTTTCGCTCTCCTGAAACAACAAACAATACGCTGGAGTTTTTGCTGAGATGATGTTTGCGATTGCAGGACGGCTGCTATGGGGCGGAACGTCATGGAAAAATTAATTGTTGGACCGTTGCCATTCGGGTATAATTTTTCTCTTTGATTTTTCATTTTTAACGTTCTATCAATTTTTCTCGTACTTTACTTGCTACACAATACAACCACGTAAAAAATTTAAAGCAAAAATAATTGTTGGCGTATTCTGGGAGAAATATAAAACAAAACAAAATAAAATAACAAAGAAAATTTCTAAAAATTAAATTGTTTATTGATGTTCTTATGAAACCAATTTCTCTTAATTTCTGTTTATTGTGCTGGCCTATGACGACGTGTTCTGTATAAACAATTTACATCCATGTTGACGCAAGAGATTTCAATGGTTTTAGGTATTAGTGCTGTATTATAACAACCTTAATTTGGGCATTGGTTTATTCTAATGATGACTAAATGCTTATTTGCGTTAGTGATATTTTCGTAACCTCACTGTAAACAAATACGAGACCGAATTTAAATGTTCGACGTTAATTAGTAATTATATGCGTAAGAAAACAAACTTTGCAAACAGAACTGAAATATTAAGCTTCTTAGGTACTTATTTACTTTTCAAGTTGTTGTTGTTTTCGTACAAAATTTTTAATGCTGTCTACATTTAGACATTTTCAAAGTCAAAACTCCGATTTAGGCTTAGAGTCTTGATATATGGAATTCGCCCAAAGATTGTATCACTGTTGAAGTTGTGAGATCTTTTGGTCTTAATTGTGTTAGTGTAAGATTTCAGACCAAATGTCGTTTCAAACTTATAAACTTTTGTCATCAAGAGTCGATCGATTTAAGAAAAATGTACTTAACAGGTAGGTAATTATGTAATTACTTAGGTTATTAGAGTATCATATTTAGTTTTCAAAACAGAACATTTAAATAGATTCGGTGATAAGGTAATTAGGTGCAAAATATGTTTACTTGTAATGGCCTGAAAAGTAACTTATTCGTGTTTATCATTAGTTTCATTGATTAGCTTAAACGGGTGCGTAACGTAATGGCGTTAATTAATCAAGAAAAATATCATGTCGCAATATGATTTTTTAATTTCATTCTACTAAATTTGTAAATAATTAGGGATAATTATCTGCGACCCTAATTTAGCTCATGTTTTATGCCGTGGGCTTTACAGTAATACAATTTATAGCGTTCTGTTTATTAGAATTTTAAAGCGCTTCGAAACATTTTCTCAATTAAAATATTTTTAATGTTTCATAAATAGTTAAAGATAGATTTTTTAACAAATTAAAGGTTTTTAATTTATCAATTTTCGACTAGGTACTCGTTAGCAAGATAGGTCTATTTCATTTATTTACACTTTAAACAAGATGTAATTTTAAAATGTATATTTCGACTAAAACGCAACAGTAGCATTTGTAATCAGTGCTTTTTAAATTTACTTACGTCGAGAGTAGCAAAAGCAATGTTTTAATTTTATTTATATCCTGCGAACATTTCTCCGGTTTTTATCTCTACTGCATTTATTTTACTTTAATAATATGAGCACATAAATCAGAACAAAAATATTTTTGTGGAAATAGTTGTATATGTTTATTAAATACACTAAGGAAAAGGTGTTGAAATTATTGTGAATTAGCCGTTTCCGTGTTAAAATTATGACATGTTTCCGCAATTTGGCTGAGGTGTTTCGACATTTCTAATGTAGGAGGCTAAGTAAACAATCCTGGGCCAGTGCGGTCTACCCACTCATTGTCATTTCCGTTTCCTTCCTTTGCAATATTATATTTCCACTTTATGAAAAGTTGTGACATATTTTCCAAGAGAAAAATAAGAAACTGCAGGATCGAAACCCTGGAACCCTGATCTATACAGATTTCTTTTTAAAAATTGATAAATGATTGTGATTGATTTATAGCTTCAAAATGCCATTTTCAATTACCTACCAACTTAAGTGATAAAAAAAGTTAGTTAAAAAATTAAATGGACTTTATAACTCATCTCACAAAATAGTACAGTCATCAAATTTATTTTATACGAGCAACATGGGTGTCATCTTTCATTTCAGGAATTTCGTTACATTCGAACAAAGTATACGAACTGGAGTATAAAATTAATCTGTCAGACAGTGACAATAAATCACGCAATTCCGCAGAAATAATCATCATTTTCCTATAATTAAAGAGTAATGAACGGTTTTTTCCTATACATAACATACCGTACCATTTGTGTGAAATGAAAAAACAGCCCACACTGTTTCAATTTTTTTCTGACTGTTAAAGATACACAAAACAAATTTGTTTTAGTAATAGATAGAATAATGATGTGCAATCAAGTTATTTATTAGATAATAGATAATAAAACTAATATCTGATAAAAATTCCAAAATGCTCATTACGATATTTACCAATTCAAATGATGCGGAAATATTTTATTACTGGATCAAGGTTAGATGGTGAAGGAAAATTCGGCAAAGTTTTTTAGGACACGCGTAGATGTTTACAGCATTTATGTCAGTCCTGGTCGAAGAAATAAGTGACCTAAATTTCTTTTCCTTGACGTTTCAATTGAAATACATACTTAACTTGATACTTGTTACCCGAGAGTTGAAATTCTAAAGGACAATAATTCTTATTTAAATTGCAATCATTGCAAGATCTTTCAAAAGATTTTAGAACAGCAAACTGTATGTGACTATTGTCCAGTTAGGTTGAAACGAAATGAAAGTATTTTATTAAATTTAGGTTTGTGTAGCGAAACTTTGTCGATTACGTCAATCTAATTAAGTGTTCCAAACCATTATAGAGTACCGTTCGAAATCTTGACTCACTCGACGACTCACTAACGACTTGCCAAATTGAATTTATTGAAACAATATGTGAGTAAGGTATAGCTAGTGTGGATATAATCACAAATTAATGCTTTTCTATCAAAAAAATTAAAAGATAAATGCTTACACTTTCATTTTGTGCCATTTCTAGCACTAAATTAACAAAAGCTTACCACAGCTCGCAGTATTGATATTAACTATTAGCTCGGAATTAGAAATATCAGTTTTATTCCTTATCAAACAGCATGACAAGTGCTAAATTAAATATTGTCGTCGTTGGTTTCATAAAAAAGACTGTCGGTGGCAGTAGCTCCGCACATAATACTCACATCGAGTCTCTAAATTAAAAAAAGCATTTAGAAAAGTGAAACTGGTAAAAGTACGTCAAAGCCACGTGTGATAGTCCAGATTGACATCTTAACCGGATTAACCCGAATAACGAAAAAGCTCACATCCGTTTACTTAGTAGGTGGATGTCCCGCAAAGCACTGAAGATAATGCGCCAGCTCTCTACTTTTAATTAGCTTTAGAGTTATTACAGACAAATCGAGGTGTGTGCGCAACAAGTTAATCTAAATGAAATAAATATTTCCGTTTTCGTGTAATAAACACGATACCCGGATTAAATCCAGAGATAGACTTCCAAGGTAGAAATTTTAATGCTAGAACGTTTAAGATAGTATTAAATAATTAGCTGGTTAAGTAGCGAGATTACAAAGATTCCCCTTGCACATTCGGTTCCGATTTACAGTTTAACTAATAATTACTACCTAATTGTTTGTATTTATTCTGTTGCGTTATCGATTTTTAAATGTTAGAAAAAAAACATAAAGCAATTATAAAATGGTAATAGATTTATTAAAATCAGTATACAGAGTGCGCCAGAACTCGCGCCCCAGAAAAAAATTTCAAGTCAGATAAGATACCAGGGGGCCTACCACCGACTCGTGTGAGATTTCTCACTGGTGACTTTTTTCACCAAAATGACGTCATTTTAATGAGAAGTGCTAAAACCCTACTATTGACGCGATGACTTTTCTCACCGGTGACAAAACTCGAATRAAAACGCGTGAGTTTTTTCGAGCGCTTTATTATGAGTRAGATTCATAGAAAACTCGTGAGATTTGACATTTGTAATAATTTAAATTCAAATGAAGAATTATTGTTGGTTTAAATGAGTAAAATATGAATTGTTTAATAAAAAAAAGTGAATATTTAATATTTTTGGTTTATTATCATTAAATTTCAGACAAAATTTGAAGAAAAACGCAGGTAGATAACCCACCACACCACGCTCTCTTTTTTGATCTTGATGAGACTATTATTCACAGCTATTATTTCTAGCAGACGTTATCTAAATTTTGGAAATTTACTCTTTACATCGTTTTTCGCCAGTGTCGTACTTCTATTTTCGCGTCGTACGTTTTGTTTCTCTTCGATTAATATAAAATCGGTCCTTTTCAGGACTCCTCCTTCAAGGCTTTCTTCTTACAAAGGTATTAAAATTATTCTATAAACCAAATTTTTGAGCACTATATTCTGCAATCAAACTATAGCAACTCGTCGCTGCTTGTAGTGCACAAAATGCATGATTTAATGATGCTCAATTTAATTGACGATTTGGAAGAGGAAGAAGAAGTAGATGTTCCATTGAGGCGAGCTGCTACTGGAGATCCTTTGCGGGAATTGCCAGAAAGACAATTTGTCAAGCTGTTTCGAGTGTCCAAAGACTTATTTAATTTTATTGTAACTGTTGTGGAACCTTATATGCGTCCAAAGAGAAGCCCCAGTGATTTATCTGTCCATACTCGAGTAATTAAGCCAATAATGTAATAATGTATTAATTTTGGTCGAATCCGCAAAAACTCGACCAGAATTTCTTTCTGCTCCTCCGTCACCTTCATAGTGTTTGGATTTGGAAAATCAAAAATGGAAAAATTGGGAAAAACGTTTTGTCAAACGCTAAGCAACGAGCGCGAAAGTGCTACGTTGCAATATCTAACCGGTGACAAAACTCATCGGTGAGATTTCTCAATTCACGCAATGTCAATAGTAGCGGTTTTTAAAAATGAGTGACAAAATGCACGTGAGTTTTGTCACCGGTGAGAAAACTCATCGAAGTCGGTAGTAGGCCCCCAGGA